GAATGACAGTAGAATTAGTCCAGGAGATTATTATGCATTATTTGTGTCCCAGTTACTTTTGGTGACGATGGTATGTATTACTGGATGACATAAGTATACAGGGTGTTTTTTTATATATCGATCCCCACCCACAGCCTTAACCTTTACAGGTAGAAGAAAGATGTAAATACAACAATTTTACAGTTTTGGCTGAATTTTCAAAAACCACAGTCAGAAACAAAATTTGAATGGATCAGAAATGTGAAATTTTGCATGCTTCCAGCTTTTTTCTCAAATGGGATACCCTATATTTCATTCTATATTCTTGAAGAGCATAATGCCCCTATTGCAAAAATACCTATATAGTTTTTCTAGATTTGATTGAACAGTCTCTCATATATTCGGCTCCAAAAATTGTAAAAATACTATCCTACTACAGATTTTGTAAACCATTCTACCTATACAGGTGAAATTTGCAGGTAAAATCTGAGGTACCTACTTGGTTTCTCTGATACTATTTTTAAAATTTTCAGAACAAAATATGTTGGAGACGGCTCAACCAAATATAGACAACTATATAGTTTTGGAATCGGGAAATTGTGCTCTTCAAGAATATAGAACCAAATATAGGGCATCCCATTTGAAAAAAGCTGAAAGCATGCAACATTTCACATTTCTGACATTCAATTTTTGTTTCTGACCATGGATTCTAAAAATTTAGCAAATAATGGCCGAGTTCGTTTTTGTCATCTTTTTCGTCGATTTGCTCTGAAGTTTTGACATGCACGTGACTGAATAAGACAATTTCAAGTTACAAATCACGTGTCTGTCAAAATTTCGGAGGAAATGGACGAAAAAGATGACAAAAACGAACTCGGCCACTGTACAACTTTTGTATTTACACCTTTCATCTACCTACTTGTAAAGGTGGAGGATGTAGGTGGGGTGTTGATATATAGAAAAACACCATACTTGAACAATAACTTATTATATGAAGTCAGAATTTGTAAGATTTCCACTTTTTGTCAATTTGCCTTTCAACAGGAATTAGTAATGTTACTTTACCAAACTAGTTACATAATGTGACATAAGTTATTCAAGTACAAATGAGTGAATTGTTGCGGAACTCATGGGTGGACCTCTGCGGGACGAGCGTAGCGAGTTCCGCAGCCATCCATTTATCAATATATTGTTTAATTATAATACTAACCCTATTCACTCAAATGTGAGTTATTCTCATTAGTTTAAAAACTACACGTTCCAGGTGAATGTCTTACTTGAATAGATCAACAGTATATTGGGGAGTAGATGGCTGCGGAACTCGCTACGGTCGTCCCGCAGAGGTCCACCCGTAAGTTCTGCAACAATCTACTTATTTGTACTTGAAAAATAACTTTTATATAAAGTCAGAATTTGTAAGATTATCCACTTTTTGTCAATTTGCCTTTCAACAGGAATTAGTAATGTTACTTTACCAAACTAGTAACATAATGTAACAAGTTATTCAAGTACAAATGAGTGAATTGTTGCGAAACTTATGGGTCGACCTCTGCGGGACGAGCGTAGCGAGTTCCGCAGCCATCCATTTATCAATATATTGTTTAATTAAAATACTAACCTTATTCACTCAAATGTGAGTTATTCTCATTAGTTTAAAAACTACACGTTTCAGGTGAATGTCTTACTTGAACAGTTCAACAGTATATTGGTGAGGAGATGGCTGCGGAACTCGCTGCGCTCGTTCCGCAGAGGTCCACCTGTAAGTTCTGCAACAATCTACTTATTTGTACTTGAAAAATAACTTATTATATGAAGTCAGAATTTTTAAGATTATCCACTTTTTGTCAATTTGCCTTTTAACAGGAATTAGTAATGTTACTTTACCAAACTAGTAGATATTATATTGTGACAATAGTTATTCAAGTACAAACGAGTGGATTGTTGCGGAACTTATGGGTGGTCTCAGCCATCTCTTCACCAATATGTTGTTTAAGTACAATACTAACCTGATTCACTCAGTTGTGAATTTTTTCCATTAGTTCAAAAACTACACGTGTCAGATGAGTGTCTTATTTGAACAGTTCAACAGTATATTGGTGAGTAGATGGCTGCGGAACTCGCTGCGCTCGTCCCGCAGAGGTCCACCCATAAATTCCGCAATAATCCACTTATTTGTACAAGGTGTTTTTTTATAGATTGACACCCCACCTACAGCCTTTACGTTTACAGGTAGAATTAAGAAAGGTGTAAATCCCGGTGTACAGTTTTGGCTGAATTTTTAGAAACCCATGGTCAGAAACAAAATTTGAATGTCAGAAATGTGAAATTTTGCATGCTCTTCAAGAATATAGAACCAAATATAGGGCATCCCATTTGAAAACACCTGAAAGCATGCAATATTTCACATTTCTGACATTCAATTTTTGTTTCTTACCGTGAATTCTAAAAATTTAGCCAATACTGTACAACTTTTGTATTTACACCTTCCATATACCTGTAACGGTAAAGGCTGTAGGTGGAGTGTCAATATATAAAAAACACCCCGTTAGATAATACTAGTATAAAATCTTTGTTAAAAAACTAATGGTAAACCTCTAAACTTACACTTATGCCCTCTTACTAATATGCTTTACATCAGAACTGTTTAGTACCCTAAGTCATATGTTACTTCTCGGGACTGAGTCTATCAATGAGGTACTTCGTATTTAATTGGTTTACAGCAATTTTTTTGTTGTTGTACTTTTCAATTATTATTGACCACTTCAGGGTCAATTTCAAGCGAACCATATTTTCATGGTTGGTTTAGGTTGAAAATCATAGATCACTTTAGTAAGGTCATTTATCGGAATCGCTTGAACGCCTTTGGTATTTATTTACCTTAGGTATTTACCGCGAATACCACATAATTGTCCACATAATTTGTTGTCTATATTTCTCTTCTCTATAGTTTCATGTTTAAACTATTCGAGGCTCTTGAATTTCTGTTTCTATCCAAATTTTTTTTTATAGAAGAAACAATGAACAGTCAAATGCCTGAAATAAAATGTCTTTCCATGAAAGAATCGAGAAGCAGTCAAAACCCTGGAATAGAAAAAAACAAATGATCAAATTTCCTTAAAACTCTAGTCTCTATTTCTTTTCTCTTAGGTTTCAGTTTTTGACTATTCCAGGCTCTTAAATTTGTGTTTCCATTCAAATTCCTTTTTACAGAAGAATCAAGGAACAAAGGCCTGGATGAAAAATTTCTTTTCATAAAAGAATCAAGAAACAGACAATGTCGATAAACTATCTAAGACTCATAAATCCAAGTATGCTGAATAATAAATCGGAGATTATGGTGAACATTATTTATACCTAATTTGAAACTTGTGGTTTGACTGATATTTTTGCCACTAGATTTATTTGTAACCACAACACACTCAAACAACATGCACTAAATAAAAATGAAATCACAATAACAACAAAAGAGTTATAATGCAATAATACAAAATAACAGATTATTAATTATAACGTCATCAGGAATAATTAAGCAAGTAGTTGGGAGTACATACAAAAAGGAATGAGAATTGCGTAAATTCATTGTGAATGACGCATTCTTTTAGAATTTAATTACGGACTTCCGATGCTTTGAATAGATGTCCGACAATACAATTGCATTATGGTTTCACATTATTTGGTGTTAAAATAACAATATTTTTTTTTTTCAAGAATGTATAGCCTTGTCGCAATCAACCATGGGATCATAAGCTTTTACCAAAGCTCACTTCCTGGTAATGACATAAAACCGAACGTAAAAGTTTATAGCTGTTTTGTTAAGATGCACCATGCACGGAACCATAATAGTTCACTGACCCACAAAGAATGAATAATATCGATATAAAATTTAAACAAATTACTTTTTGTTGTATATAGTCGCCTACAATATGTACCTAAAACCTAATCAAAATAATGGCAGAATTTAACGATATTTTAAGAAAATAGAACCAGGTCATACCTAGTTATAGCAAATAAAACGAAAATGTAATAGGCATTGGAGTATTGAGTTTCTTGTTTTATGGTCCATTTACTAGCAGCAATTGAACCTAAAATAAACCCCCATATAGCGACCCCGCAAGATTAAGTAGTAAAATTTTACAATATGCACTTAAAAGTCAAGGAAGAAGAATAAATTGTAGTACATATTTGGAATTCCTGATCAATTGTGTGTGTAAATTCGTTTCAATTGAGTTATTTCAACAAGAATTTACGATAATTGATTTTGTATGTGAAGCGCGTAGTTTGTAAGTTGCAATGAGAGAATTGTTGCATAAAGTTAAGTAAAAGTGATAACTGATTAGTGAGTTTTGTACACGAAAGTTTTACTAATAGATTTGCAACTCAAATAACAAATAGCCAAAAAGACAAATAACAGTTATCAGAAGTGTAGAAAAACTATTGCTAATCCAGTCGTTGTGTATTTTATTATTCATTCTAAACCTGGCGCCAGACGCTATTTAGACATGCGGTAATTAGTGAAATAAATCAAATGGATTTATTTATGTTTGATTAAAGACTAGTGAAGTCTTAAATTAATTTTGATTATATAACAGACAATAACATATTATTTTCTAGTAATTCAATAGTCCAAATCCATCAATAAATTAGGACGACCTCGAAAATTCACAGAATTGCCACACTACAGGCAACACCGGACATGCATGGATTTTACACTGTATTCAAGGAATTTTATACAACGATGTATCATTCCGTGTCGAGGAAACATGACAACATAATTTAAACCAAACATTAAACTACCATAGTAGATCGCGTATATAGAATAAGTTTTACATAATTGTTATTTACTATATACGAGGATCAGATAAGTAAATATTCAATCTATAGGCATGAGAGTGAAAGTAAACTAGTGCTAATGACTGCTTAATGGGAAATAGGTTGTTCTTATGAAATTCTAACAAATACAACTGGTTATCGATAACGCTTTCACGTTTCGTGTTAAATTATCAGTAATTCAAAATCTTTACCTTTTCTTCCATTATATTTTCAAATTCCCCACAATAATCCTTCATAAGAAACGCCATCCAGTTTACAATATCCTCCCTTAAACTTTCCACAAACTCTTGTTTTTTCTCTACATTTTCCACTAATGGCTCAAGTATTTCCAATTCTTCCACTACGCCTTCCTCAAATATACTACTTATTCTGGATTCTTTTGCAAAGCTCAAATTCAAATCAGAGCTAGGACATAAAGTCAATTCAGAACTATTCATACATGTTTGTTGTTTGAGTTCAACTCTCAAACTTTGAGGCCTCCAAGTGTTTTCAATTATATCTGTAAACTTTAGAGGCATAGAATAGCGTTTTCTAATATCGAAATTATTTGTTTGTAGTGGTATGTTTTTGATTTCTTGAGGTAGAGCAGGTTCTAACTCTTCAAACAAAGCGCAAACTCTTTTTAATTTGTATGTGTCAGCATCGGTTTTTGATCTAAGTTGGTCTTCGCTCAAGAAATCCTCAAAACTGCTAGTACTTCCAGAAATTGTTTTGTCGTTAATTAATTTGTCTTTTAATTCTTCAATATAATCTGAATTTATTGTAGAGTATTTTGAGTAGTCATCCTCTTCACTACATGTGTCTATTGATTCAATAACGTCTTCTAAATATTGAATAGTTGAAAAGACTTCCTCTTCATATTTGAGGGAATCATTTGACGAAGCCATAGGAAGGTTTTCATAAATTGGTTCCGATTCTGAGGTAGATTTAAACTTTGGTGGCAGATTTTCATAAATAAAGTTAGATTCTGAGGTGCGCCTTGGATATTTTACCGGTAGATTGACATAAATTGCCTCATTCTTTTCTAAACTTTTGCTCAGTCTTGGTGTGGCAACTGGTTTTTTTCTAATTTTTTTTGCACTAATTATACTGGAACTGGAATAAGAGCCACTACATTCACTTTCAACATTTGATAATTCACTAACAGTCCCCACCGATTCTAAAGAGTTAATTTTCGATGCACCTTCATTCGAACAATCCCAAATGTTCAGATATTGTTCATCACCACTGTCACTATCGCCACTATTCACTGAATCAATCATCATTATTTTCGCGCTCCGATTGTACTCACTGCGATTGTTTCCCGATTCAAAGGTGTCTTCGTAATATTCAACGTTGTATCTTAACGTTCTCAACCATGATTTCAGAATAATATCGGTGCCCGACGTCATTTTCTTCATTAGTCACCTACATTACCACATCCGTAAAAGAAGTATGCGGCAAAAATTCATTAGAAATCAATTTAGTTTACTTGGTGTTTGAAATTTTGCTAGTAGGTACTAGGTACTAGTACTTATTGTTCTTAATGGCTCAAAAGTTTTTTTTTTCCCGGTTTTTGACGACGGAAATGCGCGCTATACCGCCACTTGTTTCAAATAATCGCGGTCGACTAGATATGAAAATGATGTTTTAATGTTATTTCGGAGCGAATAACCGACTGTGTTATTCATTGATAAGGATTTTTCAGAATGATGGGATGTATAAAATGTCTGTGTTCGTATACAAATAAAACGCCATGCGACACTCCCATTCCGGGGACCGAGCAATATAGTCATTTATTACTATAAACGAAGGGTTTAGGAGAGTTCAATTGGTTCGGAGAGAATTAGCTTTTAAGTTGGAATTGCAGTAATATGTCGATTAAGTGGTTTAATTAGCCGTCGACAAGCTGGGTTATTTTTATGATGGCAAACGAACGAGTTCGGAGATAAAGAGATTGCAACAACAACAATAGGCGAAATATGCCTGTTTTTTTCTCTCTCTTAGGCTATTTTGGTTTTTTTATATTTTACTCTTCCACTGAGCAAGCAATGAAAGAGTGGATACTTTTTCAAAATCATCGATATTTATCTATCCTGTCAATTTTTCAAAATATTTTCTACCTACTTTCCAATAGTGCGGCAACTTAGCTCAACATATTGTGTACTTTTTGATAAAGGCACCAAATCTGGCAGAGAGGTAGACCTATGTAATATGAACAAATTTGGATGTGGAGCCATCGGCCAACTGATCCTCGGCGTCAATTTTCTAAAATAGCCGACAGTGGACACCCCGAAAGACAACAGAAGTAAGATAAAGTTTACTGCTGAAGGTTTTAGTGAATGTTTATTGATGGTTTTAAATAAAAACATGGCTGATAGTTTGTTTGTTGTACAGGGTGAGACACGAAAAACTTCCCACCTAGGTTCTTTCAGGTCTCGTCCCGTCCCAGGTTCCAGGTGATTGATCAGAAATTACACGGACACGTCAATTTTTGTTTTTGGGGGGACACATTTTATTAGTATTTTCATCCTCTACCTAACTTTCAACCCCTAAGCGGAACCAGCAAAATTTCATGTGGAAACGGGGTTCGAGCCGCAATTTTGGCAGGGTAAATAGTACCAATTTAGAATTTCGAGGATATATTCTTAATAAAAATTTCTATCAAATCACGTCTCACTTGACCCTCCTTTCTGTTTGAAGTTTTGCAGGTACCTGTCACCCCCGCTTAGGGGTTGACAGGTTTAGGTAGGGGGTGAAAATACCAATATGGCATTGGGTAATTTAATTTTCTAACGGAAAATGATAAAATATCATCAGTTATATTAAACTGAAGTGAAAGTGGTGAAATTGGATGACGCATGTAGAAGCGGCACAAAAATTAACCAGGGTTGGGACTCTGTAACGAATTGAGATATTTTTCTATCTCTATTGATTTCGACAAGAGAAACAATGACAGCAAGTGCCATAGCAATAGGGATAAGGATCTCTATCCGTTACAGAGTTTCAGCCCAGATTTTCAAAATTTCCTGGGTAAAACGTCGTGGGACACCTTGTATGTAAGTACAGGGCGGGGCACGAAAAACTTCCCACCCAGGTTTTCTCAGTGGGCCCAGAGGCTCTTGGACTCCATGCAGAAATAATTTTACAGTCAAAAACCATATGCGTACGATTCTTAGAATATTGTCTTACGAAACCTAATTGTAATCAAGAAAATACGAAAATCATTGAAAATTTTGCTGACTTCCTTATCTATTTATTACCCACATTTATTTGGAAAATGTAGGTATTCCGCAAAAAGTAAAATCGCGATCAGTAATGTTAGCTGTTACCGTGGAGGTTGGTAGGCGAATTTCGCAAAAGAATTATTTTCAGGTTTTTATGAGTTAGGGCCGGTTTATTCACCTGATAAACTGTCAGGTATGCAATCTGTAATACCATTTGTCGGCCAGTTATCCGCCGACCAGAATTAAAGAACGGTCAGTTTATCGTGCAGATAGTTATCAGCAAGTGTATCAGATGATGAATAAATCAGGCCTTAGAACCAAATTATGGGCAGACTGGTAACGTCTCTGGCAAATTTATCCTGCTGGTAAATTGAATTCAATTTTCAATTTTACGAACAGGATAAATTTGCCAATGACATTACCAGTTGGTCCATATTTTATATTTTGGCCTTCAGACAAACAGAATATATGCAATATTATAACTAGGCCTCGCCAAACCACTCTGCCCCCAGGTCCAAAATCTGAAGTTACGCCACTGCCTAGCTCTCAACCTTTAAGCGAAGGTGACAGCCGACAGGTACTCCAAAAATTTCAAATAAAAAAGGGGGCGATACGTCATTTGATAGAAAGTTTTAATAAGATTACTTATATCCTCGAAATTTTAAGTTGCTACTACATAAGGTGGGTTCGGCTTGCTCACTTCGTGCCCTCCGAGTGACTCCATTCGCACTCCAGCCGTTCGGGTTAAGGTTCGGGTATTGCTTTTTACCGTATTAGGGGTGACTCCATTAGCTCTGTTCACTCCACTCCAACTCCGCGCTGAATAGCCGAACCCAGCTATAGTAACAACCAGTCTGGCTAACTCAGTAGTTATTATCCCGACGATAACTCACCCCGGTTGGTATGACCCCAACCTCTATGACCCCAACGATGACACCGTTTCGGGAACCTCACTTGACATGCAAATTACCTTGAGGGTGGTTTAAGGAGGTGAAACTAATAGTTGCGTTTCATCGAAAAAGGGGTTATTGTAAAAATATGGACATTTCCACCCTAGTCTCGGGCACAAATAGTACTGGAAGTTATAGGCAGTACCAACATGCACCATTTAGCGTAGCTAAAAAGACTTGCAAATTACTTTGAGGGCGGTTTAAGGGGGTAAAACGAATAATTCCAATTCATCGAGAAAAGGGTTTTTGTGAAAATATGGACATTTCCACCCTAGTCTAGGGCACAAATGGTACTGGAAGTTATAGACAGTATGCACACATACACATTTCCACTCTCTTCATTGCATGCCCGCTTCATTCACCCTGCTAAGGGAATGTTTATTTTAATATAGGAATTGCCTTACCCAACATTGTAAATTTGTTGCAATAAATACAAGACCTTAATATTATATTCATGTGTCTTCTTTTGGAGTTATCTGCAGGATTTACAGAAAAGATAGAAGGAATGGAGGAAGATGTCTGATCTCTACTGTAATAAGCTACCTGGTGCACGTGGACCCTCAACCACAATAATCCAGAGGGTGGCGCCCGAGGTAACCGTTAAAGTAAGAAAAGGAAAAATCGGCGTTACAAAATTGGCGCCCGAGCAGGGACTCTCAATTGCTGTAAAAAGAAGTTTCCACTAGAATTAGTCCGTTGACCAGTCCTTTATAAAACCCAGACTAAAGATGACAGGAGGCAACAACAACGCTGGAGACCCGCCAGCTACGAGTACCTCAAATACTATTGCACAGATGGTACATATTTACCCTGCCGAAATGGGGGCTTGTCAAAGTTAGGAAATAAAACATTGTATCACTCGAACCCCCTTTTCATTTAATATTTTGCTGGTACCTGCCGCCTTCGCCTAGGGGTTGACAGGTAGTGGATGGAAATACCAATAAAATGTGTCTCCGAAGAAACAAAACCTGAAGCCTGTGCCCCGAGCAATTTTTTATTATTCACCTAACACCGGAGAAAACCTAGGTGGGAAGTTTTTCGTGTCCCATCCTGTATTACTAACAAACTATCGGGCATTATTTTTAAAAAAATCTCAAAATACTAATTCTAAACTTAACAAAGACAAAAAGATAAGAATATCAGCTAGGCAAGAACACTGATTTGTTTTAAAGAAAAAAATGACTAATACTAATGACTTGAGCTCTAAAAATATGCACCTGCATGGAATGTTAGCTATTTCTGTGATTAATGGGTAGTGGGTATAGTTATAGTTTCCGTAATAATGGAGTTTATCAATAAAGGATTGTTTGCATTGGATATTATTATGAATTAATCAAGACAAATGCCAAGTTATAATTCATCAAAGCAGCAATTTTAAATACTTTGGTTGTTGCAATAATCCCTAAAGTAGCTCATAAATCTACTTAAAAGACAATGGGTGTGACCTCAATTTATTGTTTTTTTCATCTGGTTTGACTGTTTTCACGGGGTTTGTGACTATATTCTAAACACAAATTTACAAAATAGCTCGATCAATAATTAAGTAACGCTTATTGCTGGAAATAATTGCATTATTATGGATAATGTTAGTATGAATCAATGAAAAAACTGCAATAAATATGTCCTAATTTAAACTTTGTTGTTTATGTAGACATGCAATTTTAAGCCGCAAATCTATAGGCATTGCCTTGAAAGTAAAGAAACCTGAAACATTCCATTTGCCAATCAGCCAATCCTTTATTTATATATTTTTTCGGAAATCGATAAATAGGGTAAGTACCACAAAATGTCAAGTCTATTCGCCATGAAGAGCTGAATGAATTATTGGACACACATTTTACAATTATTGATACAGGATATAGATATTGATATCAACCAGTTAATAGGTAAATTATGTGAAGGTACAATAGTAGAATTCATAATATGTATTGAGGAAAATTTGTTCTGATTGGATCAAAATAACATTGGAACAAAATTGGCAAATGTTCACCCAAATTTGGATTTAAAAAAAACTCTAACGCTCAACTCTCGTTGGCAACGTATCACATGTCAACATCCATGTTTCAGTACCGATGATGAGTATCTTCAATGATTTAAATGAATGAAAAAGCCCACGCACATGTGTCGAGACTTTATGAACTTATACAGAGCGACCAACGAAAATTAACCATCAATAATTTTATTCTTTTACATTTCACTCCTACATTTAATCAATTATAAGGGAAAAACAATTATAATGCAATAAAAACCACGCACGTCAAAATGACTGGATAAATAGTAATTTATAGCAATCAAGGATTTTTATAGAATAAGCTTAATAAATGTCACGTTTCGAAACTGGTGCTTGTGGGTGTGTTATGGTCAATGGCCCTTTTAAATGTAAAATTAAAATTTATTCGAAAAACACCTACTCACAAAACGTGATTTTCACAATTTCTATTTTACAGGGTATTTTTGAAACCAAATAATACACTTTTTAATTGAGATAAGAACCATTACAATCCCAGCAAAAAATCTAATAAAAATTGATTAGATATAAAATATTTAATCTTACCGGTGTAGATTGGGACATGTTCCTCATAACAACCATATTGGTTTTATTATCATCAACCAATCGGTTTTCATCATTATCCTCTTGATGATATTCACCACAGTTGAAACATAGTTCTTTATTCTCAAGCAAACTTTCTACAGATTCAAATCTTAGTTTACCTTTATCCAATAATGCTGTAGAATAATCTTCACTGTCTCTTAAAAGATTAGTGAGCGAAGCACTTTTTTTAAGCGCACCGATTTTATCCGCTTCTCTTCTTAAAGTCATTGTAAGCTCATTTTCCACTCGTTGAAAATCTTGAGGACTAGATATTACCAACTTTCGTTGTCTCAATGTTTTTGTAGTTTTTTTTTCACGTTTTGTAGAGGATTGTAATTGCCCATCTTGTTTTCTGAAAGGTGTTAATTGATCCAAGTGTTCTTCGTAAAAAGACTTTGTTAATACTTTGTAAAAAGTTGTATTGGTCATTTCAAATTTATCTCTAGCTTCAACTTCTTCATCTTCAGCAACATTGGGTTCATTTACAACAGCATGATTAACAGTTTCTGCCTCAGTAGTAGGCAATTTATTTAAACTTTTATTGCTGTCTTCACTTTTTTCTTCTAACGTTTCCGAGGCATTATTTTGATTTATTACGACTGATTCTGAAACACTTGTATAACTTGCTGAGCTTGTCTTCTTTTTCTGAGCTTTTGAATCCGACCGACCTTTTCCGATAAGGTTTAATTTGGTCATGCTACCGAAAAAATTAAAATCCATCATTTTTGATAGATTTTTAGCAGGACTTGTTGGGTCTTCCAAATAAAAACAAATATAAGTGTTTTGAATGCGCGCACTTGATAATGACTGATGGTGACGAACTATATAAATTAATCTGAAGTTGATTATGACTGATAAAAAAGCTAGATAACTCGGATAAAATTATTTTATATGACGGCTGTAGAACATGTGTGATCAAAATGCGCTGGTGATAAGAATAAGAAATAGGTAGGTATCCAAACAAAGCATCAGTTTAAAAAAGACAAGTTGTTTTCTTAATGCCTGTGGAAAATTTAGATGATTAAAATAAGTTAAAATTTGAGTCAAGAACTTTGCCTCTTTATGCGTAGCACTGTTTATTTCCAAGTAGGAATATTCGATTTCCTAAACAATTTTAATTCTTCCTTTGGGAACTTAATGGTAATTTTTAGATACATTTGGTACTTTTGGTAGCTTCTTTCAACCAAATAACTCTTTAATGGTATTTCATTACTTCTTAAATTCCATATGAGTACTGAATTTAGTAGGTATGTCATTTGATTAGGACACTATTTATTAACGTAAAATGCATGACTTCTTCACAATATTGTGTAAAATCAACCTTAGGATAATATGTGAAATTTGTAGAACGAATTACCTACAAGACTACTAAGCTATGGCTGAAACTAGAAAATTAAGTACAAATTTAAAAAAAAAACCGCTGCCTTAAAAATTAACAATTTACATTCTCCATTCTATCAATAATACTTAAGCATTTTTGTGAATTTTGTTAGTTTTACGGATTGTTAATTGTAGAGTACTTATGTTACTTCTTGGTCATGTTTATCTTTTTTTATTTTTTCATGTACTTCTTTGATTCCGTTAAGTATGTAATTGTGTTCCTTGGTTAATAATAACTTATATTCTAACTTAGGAACAGACTATTTTTGGATAGGTAACTTCGAGGGCAACGTATTGATTATATTTTAATATTTTAGCTCTTTTCCAACCCAATCGACATGAGAACCGTTCTAGAACGGTAAATTCCAGTCGATCAATTCATTTGTCAAGTAGGATAAACGTTCAACTTATTGAAAAATAGGTGGGAAACTGGAAATTACTGGTTGTGGAACGGTTCTAATGTTGGTTGGAACCTCGGTTGGAACATAGCTTTTAAGAGATTTTACTTTTGTGATCTAGTATGTGAACTGCTCTAAGCATTAATAAAGATTTTGAGTTTTCAAATAGAGACATCACAGAAAAGCTGAAATACCTAATGTGTTTTCAGAAAAAAAAAAATGGCTTTTGTATTGTATTACCTACTACAATTTATTTTTGATAATAATTACTTCTTCTCATGTTCAAATAGAGATGCAGGTATGATATAATTTCGTGACCCCTATTTGGCAATGAACTTTATCATTGCAATTTAAATTAATGCACCTCTCCCCTATCCACACCCGCATTTTAAAAATGACAATAATTGAAATCTATTATTTGATTGTGATACTTATAGGGGAATGTAGAGGCATATTACTGTGGGTCAAATTAAAGTTGGACTCAGTTATATATTTTTAACTATAAATATTTCATTTCTTGAATATCTTTTGAACGCATTTTCAAAATATAGTAGAATGATGTTTAGTTTTCCTCTACATATAATAAAAATTAATTATGTATTAATATTAATTAAGGTTCTTGTACTTTCATATTTTTTTCTTTGTAATAGGTGAAATTGAAAGAAGAGTTTACAAAAGCAGATATTAATATGATAATGAATACATATAGAAGGAAACCGTGAGAATATTATTAATAATTCCACATATTTAGTTTGATACATATCAATTCTTATAATATAAACACTACACTGGATTAATAAGTTGACTTGTTCACTTGGTACTTGGTCCCTCAAGGTTTATTAATATTAAGTACACCCGAGGGTATACCTATTGGAATATAATTGAAATTCAACCGTAAAAATGTGCAAGCATGAATATTTTTATACATACAACCCACACTATAAGAGCTTATTATGGAACCCATTTTAGCCTATTTGAGTCATGTAATAAGATGTATTATTGTACTAGTGACACAGTTTCTGAGAGTACCTCCATTGTAAATGCTTTTGCTACATACTTCTAAGATGTGTATACAAAGACAAATCACCCAGATAATTGTGAAAACCTAATAAATACAATTTTTTGACATATTGAAAATAGATCATATTAAACACAGAACAAGGGGCAAACCACCTAGGAATTCCTTGCCAAAAATATGGGGAATTTAGAGGAATTTGTGAGGAATTTGAAGGAACTCATCCGAATTTATGAGAATTTGGGGAATTTATAGGGAATTTGGAGGAATTTATGGGGAATTTGGTAGAATTTGTGAGGAATTTAAAGGAAATTGTCAAATTTAAAAGAATAATGAATACAATTTTTGTAGGCTGATTTCCAAGATTATTCATGTTGTTATTTTTCACTGGAAAAAATTGAAACTCTGGGAAAATTAGCTTCTCACTTTCCTCTTTACATGCAAAAAGTTTCAAAATTTTCCCATGTCTAGTTTTCCAGGAAAACTTTAAAATATGTGAGACTGTATTTTCAACTTATTCAGTTTTTGTAGGTTGATTTCCAAGATTTTTCATGTTGCTGTTTTCTACTGGAAAAATTTGAAATTTTGGGAAGATGAGCTTCTCACCTTCCTCTTTACATGCAAAAAGTTTCAAAATTTTCCCTTCACTATTTTTCCAGGAAATCTTTGAAATATGTGAAACTGTATTTTTAATTAATTCAGTTATTGCAGGTTGATTTTTCATGTTGCTGTTTTCCACTGGAAAAATTTGAAATTTTGGGAAAATAAGCTTCTTACCTTCTTCTTTACATACAAAAGTTTCAAAACTTTCCCTTCACTAGTTTTCCAGGAAAAAAATGTGTGAGACTGTATTTTCAACTAATTCAGTTTTTGTAGGTTGATTTCCAAGATTTATCATGTTGTTAGTTTTCACTGGAAAAATTTGAAATTTTGGGAAAATGAGCTTCTCACCTTCCTCTTTACATGCAAAAAGTTTCAAAATTTTCCCTTCATTGAATTTCCAGGAAAACTTTGAAATATGTGAGACTGTATTTTCAATTAGGTACCTAATTCAGTTACCTATTGTAGGTTGATTTTCAAGATTCCTTATGTTGTAATTTTCTACTGGAAAAATTTGAAATTCTGGGAAAATGAGCTTCTCACCTTCCTTTTTTCATGCAAAAAGTTTCAAAGTTTTCCTTTCTCTAGTTTTCCAGGAAAACCTTGAGGAAAATTTGAAATGTGTGAGACTGTATTTTCAACTAATTCAGTTTTTGTAGGTTGATTTCCAAGATTTTTCATGTTGCTGTTTTCCACTGGAAAAATTTTAAATTTTGGGAAAATGAACTTCTCACCTTCCTCTTTACATACAAAAAGTTTCAAATTTTTCCCTTTTTTTAGAGGAATTTGTGGAGTATTTGGAAAAGTTCGTGGTGTGATATTCAGAGGAATTTATGATGGGATATCTGGAGGAATTTGTAGGAATTTTGTGGAATTATGCGTAAAAATAAAAAATTCCCCTTTAAGGAATTGTTTGCACCAATTCTGGGATGGTGGTTCACGTTCCCTTGACACAGAAGATATAGTGGAAGCTATAAAGTCGTTAAGACCTAGAGCGTATTCTAGTCTCCTGGTACAGACGGCATACCCGCAGCCTATGCCCGCACCTACCTACTTTTTCAAAGCCTATTCAGATAGATATCTCGATTATCCCAATTTAAACATTAATAAACAAATCGCTGGATATAAGATGTTTTCCAGACAAGTTAAAGAATGGTAGAGCTACTAGCTACTTGCTACTCCTATTCATAAATAGGAGATACAAGTCTGATAAGTAAAACAACTCAACCTTGGGTTGGCAATATAAAATAACACAAGACTTATAAATAGTGATCAAATAATAAGTACTTACATCTACAGCAGTACTACTTGTAGGCGTTAAACTGGAAAATGAGCTAGATTTTCTTCCTTCAAACTTTGTAAGCCTTGTTGTAGGTTTTTCATTCACAGCACTAAGCTGCTTTTCATAAGCTGCCACAATATCAGAAACAGACCTTTCTTGACTGTGTTCCACATTAGTATACGATTTCGATAGCCTATTTTCTCCTAAGGTTTTTCTTTCTTGAAACTTTTTGTTATTTTGTAATTCATTAATTACCGAAATGGATAATGATAATTGTCTCGAAACCGAAGCAGTTTTTTCATTGTCTAGGGTATTTGCACTCACCGAAACCGCGTTATTTTGTAATTTTTCTTTAGCTTTTTGCAGTTTTTCTTGCTTTTGCTCTGAACTTTCATGTTTGGTCGACGCTTTGCGGAAATGAAAACTGAAACTCTTGCTTAGTGGCATCTTTCGTTGGAAATTCGAAATGACATTTTACAGGTTAACATCTTATTATTTATTTTAATCAGATAATGAAATTAAAAATCGCTTATCTAAACAAGATGAGATAAATAATTAATAAAAAGTCGCAAAACTCTTGTTTACCTTTTTGAAAATGCCACCAAAATGATTTATACACTGTTGCCGTATATACCATACATCATGGTAGAAATGTCATGCCCCAATTTTTAATAAAAATAGAAAAATACGAAGAGTTATTTATGTAATTCGAGAGTTTGGAAGTCACCATAATTAATAATTAAAATAGAAGTAGATATTTTTGTACGTTGAACGATGCATTCTTCTATAAAAGGTTTTCATAAAAGTGTACTGATAGTGACGTCACAACTTCGACCTGGTTAAAAATTATTATTTTTATTGTTGATAATCCTCAGATTTTTGATTATGTTTATACATTTATTGAGGCAAATTCTATATTTTTCAATAGTTAATTAAAAACATCTTGAAATAAAAAGTTAATAATTAGTCAAGTACATTGTTGCCAAGCTTCAGTTTCCATGTGTGTGTCTGTCAATCTGGCACTGACATTTCCGTCTGTCAAAAAAAAAAAAAATTGCTGTTTAGAAATTTGTCAAACGAAAATGTCATGGGTGGTGTGAGGGTGTTCCCGGAACGGTACCGCGATATTCCCATTGAAAAATAATAGTTTTTAAAGTAAAATCTCTATATTAATGCCAAATAATTTAACAAACATTAATTAATTAATAAAATTTCGAAAGTCGAGTGCAAAAAAAAAAATGACGTCGAACTTCTATAATCAAGCGATGGATACATTTTGGTCGCCCAAAGTTTGGTTGCCTCCCAATACCTCTTGGGCGGATATCTCCCCGGAATCCAGTACGGAAATCCACCACGCGGACCACAGGCACCTTTTCTATCCCTTGCCCATGGCCCTTGTAGTTTTGTTAATCAGATATCTTTTTGAAAAGTAAGTAGAGGTTATGTTAGTCATCAAGTTACTTTTAACATTTTTTTTTATGTATTTGTGTAGTTTGTGTAAACACAATAATAATTATTATTTAAATAGCTGTTGATTGGATTTTCAAGTTTGATGAGGCTGTAGTAATTTTTAAGTAAACAGATGAGCTGAGGAATGTAAACATATTTCATGATAGGTTTCATTTACAGACTGGGCCAGGGTTGGCATACACAGAAACCCAGTGGATTTTTGACACAGTAAACCAACCATCAATACTGACAAAAAAACAGTGGATCTTGGGCTTTTTGTGTTGAAAACCCACTCATACAAAGTTCATTCCTCCCAAGTACAGAATATCAATCCAAAATATAAGATTCCTCACATTTTTCTTATCTCGGTACTTATATTAAACAAAATAAAAATCCTGAGGAAAAATAGTGAACTAGGTTAGATTAGGTACAGGGTGATCCAGTATAAAGTGAACAATAACATAGCTAATAAACTAGTACCTAAATAGATAATTGGAACCAAATTGAAATCATAATTAACAGGTTTGTAGAAAATGTAATTGACTTCAATTAAATCCTAATTACATTGAAATCGTATGAAAATTACCAGCGCTTTGAGGCAAAAACTGTCTCAGTGTCATTTTTGGAAAATTTTCAATGTTTGATAAAATCAATTTTTTCTCAGGTGCAAAACTGTTGAAACAAATATACAATGAAATTATCACAATAACCCGCAAAAACCTCGCCAAAAACCCTGGACTGGACCAGCAACATTTTTTACTTAGGGTCTTCATGTTTTAGGCTGCTTCATAGTTCAAAGGGCTGTTTTTCTTGTTATTCTGCTCTTTTTCAGAATATAAAATTGCTGATCCTCTGTATTCCTTTTTGTTTGAAACTTTTCTGAAATTCGCATTGGAAATAAGATGTAATCCTTATCCTACAGTGCGAAAGACCTTCTGAACGGAAAATTTATTTATTTATTTATTCAAAGTATCAACAGCAGAGCCAATTACAGATACTGACTTAATAGTAATTATACAAGAATACAGATAACAGTTTACATACTCTTAAAACCTACTTACAATCTCAACAAAGTTGATCAATCACAACATACAGAGAAATACAATTTAGGTAAAGTACCCAGGGTTGACAGGGTCCCAAAAGTTGACACATTAGCATATTATTCCCGAAAATAAGAATTTATATAGGTTATAAGCTAACTGAAATAGCTTATAGACCTTATAGTATTGTTGGAGCCATCTTTCAGGCTATAGCTGATGTATGGATTTGAAATGACAAGTTTTTTCAAAATTGTGGCAAGAAGTAGTGAACAGGTGCAAATGTTTGAATTTTTTCCCAGATTTCTAGTGAAAATAGTTAAGAAGATATAAAAACAAAAGTTCTCAAAGCTAAGGTAGGGTTGATAAATTATGAATAATATATATTTACTGTATAATAAGATACATTGTAATACATATTTATTATTGTTTTATCTCTTAAACAACTGGCATAAACTTTTTAAGGGTCAACTATTGAAGCCCAAATCGAGGGGTGATCCAAATGTTGACACTAGTGTCAACTTATGGATTTTTGGCGGTAAAAATATTTTAGCATTGTAGTCTGTCTCTTTTTATTGCTCTGGATTAAAAAGAAACCTAGATATGGGTTTGGGGAATGTAAAGGTCGTAGATCCAAAAGATGACACCCCTGTTACCCCTGTCAAGGTTTGGAGCTTTGGAGTGTCAACAGTTGGCCCTTTCAAGTTTAAATCAAGAGATGACGCATGAAAAATGGAAATTACTGAAATATGCACCAGAACTACCAGAAGACGTGATTGCTGCATTGGATGATTGCGATAGGGGGCTCACTGCAGCTACAGCAGCAAAAAACACATTGTACCAATGCTTTCCAAGCAATTTCTTTTATTAGCAATTTGGAATTGAAATTTGTATTTTTTTCGCAACAAAAAGTTTCCCAATGTTATTTTTTATTATTAAAAAGTTTGATTCTTACATTATTGATGTTTCTACCAGGGTTTCTACTGATACAGGCAACATGTCAACTATTGGTTTCAAGAGTGTCGAGTAATGGAACCACAACATGTACTTAAAAAAATTTAAAATAACTGGTTATTATGTGTATATATTTCATTTAAAAAATTGTACACTTAGAAAAATATACCTCTTAGTTCCACAGACCGTGATAAAATTTCCTAAAAATAAAAATTTGGTTTTGTAAAAAAATATATGTCAACCTTTGGATCAAAAATGTGTCAACTTTTGGCGCAGTGAACTTTTTTGTGTGTCAACTATTGGGGTTTTATCACCTTTCAGGTATTTTTGGCATAATAACACAAATAATAGGAATATAGAGTAAATAATATATCTACACATTCAATTATGAGTTTGAAATCACGCTAAAAAATATATCATAGCCTTGGGATTGAAAATTTGGAAAATGTGTGGTGATCATAAGCAAGGATACCCTTAACATGTCAACAACTGGGTACTTTACCTTAGTTAGGATGAATGCAGTTTCCTGTCAATTATCATTTTGAATACCTTAAGACTAATAATGTCTATATCTACATCTGAGGCATAAAGGTTAAATAGGTCACAGAAATTATAGATCGGAGAACACATATAAAGATTGGTTCTAGGCAAGGGGTGTCTCACGCTCTTAAATTTTGAACACCCATTTCCTTTTTGGAAATGTTTTGCTAATATTGCCCATAATTTCCAAAATTTCCTGAATATTCAGTATTTCTTAAAGTATTTCCTATAATTTCTAAAATTTCCTGAATAATTTATGGAATTTCCTGAATATTCACAGATTTCCTATGATATTTTTGACATTTCTGAAAAAAAAATTGATAATTTTCAAAATTTTTGAGAGATTTTTCATTTTTCTCCAAAATTTGGAACATCTTCCTCCGCAAATTCCTCCAAATTCACTGAAAACTTCTCCAAATTCCCTATAAATTTCTGCAAATTCTCTTTACCTCAATTCCCCATATTTTTGGCAAAGAATTCCTAGTTGGTTTACTCCTTAGAAAATATAGTCTTAGAATTCAAAGTTTGCCTGAAAAACTAATTGAAGCAATGATTGAAACTTTTTGCATATGAATAGGAAGGTCATTTTTTCAAAATTTCAAATTTTTCCAGGGATAAATAACATGAAAAATCTTGAATATCAACTTAGAAAAAGTTAATTAATCGAAAATACAATTTCACACATTTCAAAGTTTTCCTGGAAAAGTAATTAGGGAAAAATGTTGAAACTTTTTGCATGTAAAGAAGAAGGTTAGGAGCTCATTTTCCCATAATTTCAAATTTTTCCAGTGGAAAATAACAACAAGAAGAATCTTGGAAATCATCCTACAAAAACTGAATTATTTGAAAATACAGTCTCACACATTTAAAAGTTTTCCTGGAAAACTAGTGAAGGGAAAAGTTTGAAACTTTTTGCATGTGAAGAAGAAAATTAGGAGCTCATTTTCCCAAAATTTCAAATTTTTCCATTGGAAATCAACCTACAAAAACTGAATTTAAATTGAAAGACAGTCTCACACAATTGAAAGTTATCCTGGAAAACTACTGAAGAGGAAAATTTGAAACTCTTTGCATGTAAAGAGGAAGGTTAGCAGCTCATTCTCCTAAAATTTCAAATATTTGCCAGTGAAAAATAACAACATGAAAAATCTTGGAAATCAGCTTACAAAAACTGAATTATTTAAAAATACAGTCTCACACATTTCAAAGTTTTCCCTGAAGACTGATAAAAGGAAAAATTTGAAACTTTTAACATGTAAAAATGAGCTGCTAATTTTTCCAAAATTTATAAATTTTTCCAGTGGAAAATAACAACATGAGAAATCTTGAAAATTAACTTAAAATAACTGAATTATTTGAAAATACATTCTTACACATTTCAAAGTTTTCTTGGAAAACCAATAGAGGCAAAATTTTGGAACTTTTTGCATGTGAAGAGGAAAGTTAGGAGCTCATTTTCCCAAAATTTCAAATTTTTTCAGTGGAAAATAACAACATGCAAAATATTGAAAATCAACTAGGTAACAATACTGAATTAATTGAGATACCCAGTCTCACATATTTCACAGTTTTTCTGGAAAACTAGTACAGACAGGGAATAATTTGAAACTTTCTGCATTTCATGAGGAAGGTTAGGAGCTCATTTTCTCAAAATTTTATATTTTTTCCAGTAGAAAATAACAACATGAAGCTTGACTTCTATAGTTTATGAGATATGCTTTTTGACATAGATAGGTTGACAAGTTTTGTTAGCAGTTATTTTTATTCACAAAACACTGACCAGAAACTAAACAATATTCGAAACACAAAAATTCTCAAAGATTTCTGGTGAAAATGTCCTAATTTCCTATAATAATTTCAGTAAATTTTCTATAATTTCTAAAAATTTCCCAATATTTGGAATAATTTCCTAACAGTTCCTGACATTTCCCAAAATTTCCAAACATTTTCTATAATTTCTGAGAATTAACATAATTTGAGACAATTTACAGAGAATTTCTGTAATTTCTCAACATTTCCAGAAATTATTTTGAGATTTGTACACCTATTTCCGACCGTGAGACACCCCTCAGTTCTAGGGTAGGCCAAGTAAAAGACATTTTTACTCCTTGAATTAATACGATTTACAGCAAAAGGAAGCTGTTCCAAAATACCTGGGGAGTCAATATTATTGGTCAAAACCCCATACATAGTGCATAAGAATATTGCTATTCGCCTTTTCTTCAGTGACAGTCTACTGAACACACCCAACAAATAGTCATTGCTACAGCCACGCTGTAGATAAACTCCAAACTTTCTGAAGTACAGACATTTCAAGAATCTTCGCTGCACACTTTCTATAATTTCACTCCAATTATGGTATTGGGGTGACCATATTACGCTGCCATATTCTAAGATGGGCACAGAGAGACTGTCAAAGAGAGATAAGCTAATGCCAATAAATAACTCCCAGATCTTTTTGCTCAGACACTCTTTTCAGTTTTACATTACCTACAGAATAATCATAAATGACAGGATTTTTATTGCGTGTGAATGACATGCATACAGATTTGAGGTTCGCTTAATTAGCATCATTCCTATTCACACTTAATAGTTTGTGATGAATATGATGTTGATGTTCAGTGGCTCTGTTACTGGTTAGACAGATGTTAAAAATGAGATGTAATGTAATTTTTTTCTTTCAGATATTGGTTCGCACCAGTAGGTTTAAGTTTAGGAATTAAGAGTAGTAGACCTAAGAACGCCCCGTCCAATGAAATTTTAGAAAAGACGTATGCGGAATCAAAAAAATGGAAGCACAAACAAGTGAGTACCATACAACAGTAAAGGTTGGTTTTTCTGAGGTATTTTCAAGTTATTCAAGTACATATAAATTGAATTTTTCATAAAACAATACATTTTGTTGATCAGAATGTTCCTTTATAGATTCAAGGATTGGCCAAACAACTAGATATGACCGAGCGACAAGTAGAAAGGTGGTTGAGGTTGAGAAAAGGACAAAACAAGCCCTCGACTTTAACTAAATTTTGTGAGAACGCCTGGAGATGTACATATTATACTTTTAGTTTTGTTTATGGAATTACAATATTGTGGGACAAGCCTTGGCTATGGGATATTAATGAGTGCTGGTAAGTACTTGTTACCTATCTGTTAAAAAAAAAATTACCGCAAATTATGAATAAATTGTTAAGCAGTGTTGATTTCTTGACCTTCAAGGATTACTCAATCTCATAATTATTATATTGTTTTTTTAATTAAAAATCAATGCAATAATATGATGTATTGTTTTTTATGTAGGAAGATAAAACAGCAATTTCAAACTTGCATATTTATTTGTTCCGAAAAATACATCATATAAAAGTTAAGGATTAAACTAGATTACAAGTGATTTTGCTTGAACTTCTCTTCAGAACTTTGTATTTCGCAGGTTCTCTAAGTATTTATGGAGTCTTCTAAATACCTTCAGTAATTATTGACAAGGTTGTCCCCTTTAAAGTCACCAAAATTATTCCTTTTCATATAATTGACAAGATCTTTTACTCAAAATGTGTAATTGATTTACCATATTGTTGGCTACTTTCCGCAGTGACATCTTAGATAGCTTCACTTTTATTTTCTGAACCCATGCTGATTTTTTGTTTCCCAATTTTTTCATTCATTGTAAACTGTTTCAATGTGTTATGAAGAACCAAGTTGGGTCTTGATGCATAAGGAAGTCAGTTAGTTTTTATGTTTCTCAATCACCACTCTATTACAATCTTGTTTTTATCAGGAAGATTATTATCTACATTTATATGCTTAATAAAAATGAATTCACCATCTCATTTAAGGCATGATTCATCCATATCGATTTTTATAATGTACACTGAATAAATATGATGAAATCATGAATTATGTTAAGTAGAGATTATTCTGTATTATGCCTATTTTTGGTGCCTTGATAACCCGATTTCAATTCAAAGACCAGAAAATGGACATATGTATGTAAATACAAAAATTGATTTTGTTTTCTGTGTCTTGGAGATTCTAAATATTTGGAGTCAAATTACATAAAAGCATTGTCTATATCCATGTAAAGAAAACACACACATTGTTTGTATTGAAGGCCATGCATCCACAAAAATTCCAATCAGGTACCTACATACTTATTTTGTTGCAACAAATAAAGCACCACAATCTAAAATAACATCGGGTCATGTTATCTTACGCAAAAAAAAAACTTATATTTGTACATTACCTACATCTTTCGTCTCAGAAAAACTCTTTTTACAGCTATTCAGATAATCTTATCAGGCTTTTAATTAACGGCAAGCGTGAAGGTATATGTATATGCCTCCTAAAAGGTACTAAATCAAGTACTGATAAAGTCGCCTTATCTGTGTGAATAAATCGTAGGTAAATACATTCCTTGTTTAGTTTAGTTGCGGAAGTTAGTGAATGCACATGTGTTAAAGTTATTAGCCAAAATGTTCGATAAGTTACGTAGAGCTAAATCTTTTATACTAAAGTCAAAGCACGAAGAAGAAAACACTCAACAGGCCCAATTAGATCTTTCGGAAAGTTTTCATTTAAGAAGAAACATATCTATTGACAGTGAAGTGCTGGCAAGACAAAAGAGGATTAACAAATTACAAGAACAAAAAAGATTACAAAGGCGAATAATGTCAAAATCGCACGAACATTTAGAGGATCAAGTGATAGAGCAATTAAGAAAATTGAATTTTGGTGACTCTTATACCAAGCAAGATAAGGAATTCCAAAGAAGACATCCGGCCTATTTTTCTGAAAGAAATTTTCATAGAAGAAGCCTAAATTTGGAAGAATATGTTGACAAAAACAAACATTCATATTGTCATAGAAATAGTGGTGATGTAGTGAGTAATTTTGATAGAAACAATCCTGCTTATTGTTCAGAAAGAGTTCAAGCAACAAAATCACCTGCAACATCTCTCATACTTGGATCTGATGGGGATTTTCTTTTAAATAGAAAAAGTGTTGATATGAGTCATAATTTCCAAAGAAGACATCCTGCCTATGTATCAGGAAAAACAAAAACAGGCATTAAAAGCCTAATCGATAAAATAGTTGGTAATAGAGACAGAGGAGAATATTCTGACACCAGTAGCTATTCAGGATGTTCAACAGGCTCGAGTGCAGCTAGCTTCAGTTATGAAGCTTCAAAAAGGTCAGATCATAGTAATTGTTCAACAGCTTCCAGTTCAGGAACGTTTCAAGGTTCACGCAAGATGGTCCAGGCAAAAGAAGAAGAAACAATTTTTGACAGAAACGATCCCTCGTATTATTCCCAAGAAAACTATGTTCAAACTCATGATAATGGAGTGTCAAGAAAACGAGTTTATAATCAAACCAAGCCAAATGTTGACAGAAGTAGGTGTTTGCCTGAGGATAGTAGGAATCGGACAAAGCGAGATGGAAATACAAATGATAGAAGATAATGTAATGACTATGTCTGATAATAAGTAATAATAAGTGTGTACAATTGAAAAACCCATGACAATGTTTTAATTATTAAATCATTAAATTTAACTTTAGATTTAGTTTTATCATTTAAAGTAAGCTGATGATAATGAAATATGTATTTAATAAATATTATTTGTTAGCTTTATATATTTTTTAATTTGTCGTAAACATTTTTAGTTTATGTAGTGCATGTATTTATAGAATTTCCAAATGAAAGTTGAAAACAGCACATGTTTTATTGTCATTTATAATCTGTAAATTTTAAAAAATCTGTTATCTTTTTGTCATTTTCTGATTACTTGGAAAGTAGGTAGACTTTATAATTTTACTGTTTCCCAAAACTTTTTTGTATAAAAATCTATATGTATACATATAATATGATTGGATTGTAAAATATGATTTATTTTTAAATTTATAATAAAATTATAAAAAAATGGCATTTTGAAGTTACTTCTAGAGAGAAAAAATTTCAGAAAACTGAATTTTGTCTACTGGTTCAGTATGATTTTTGACGGTACCTATACTTATATTGAAAGTTCCTATCACTACACTTATTGAATAAAAGGAAAGGTGAATTTCATGAGTTACAATAATTTTGCAAGTGTATAATATAGTGCCATTGCCCACTGTGTAACTTTATCCCTGTAATGCATATAATAATAATTGAATGGCTTCAACTTTTTATAATGTAAATTTTGTCTTTTTAGGAACAATTTCCCTCACCAATCAGTTACCAACGACATTTGGTGGTACTACATGTTCTCGATGGCATTCTACTGGTCCCTATGCGTCTCCCAATTCTTCGACGTCAAACGAAAAGACTTTTGGCAGATGTTCATCCATCACATCGCCACCATATTGCTGATGTGCCTGTCCTGGATTGTGAACGTTTTCAGAGTGGGTACATTGGTGTTGGTCGTTCACGATTCGGCCGACATATTTTTGGAAGCCGCCAAAATGGCCAAGTATTCCGGCTACCAGAAGGTCTGTGATGTAATTTTCGCCATATTCACCCTGCTATGGATAGTTACTAGGTTAGGATTTTTTCCATTCTGGATTATACGAAAGTAAGTTGTGAGCAGATGTGTACTTGTTTGAAACTACTTTTATTTTTATTTTTTTTCAGTACTTCAATAGATGCACCAAAAATCGTACCAATGTTCCCTGCCTACTACATCTTCAATGGACTATTGTGCATTCTTTTGGTACTCCATATTTTCTGGACATATCTTATTGTCAAAATCGCCATAAATTCATTAAACGCAGGCCAAATGGATGGCGATATTAGGAGTAGCAGTGATGATGATTACAGTGAAGAATCGAACAATTCCAATTCTTTGGTTAACCAGAATCATAGCAAGGGTGAATGAAATAAAGTTAGGATGAATAATTAGGTATCGTCACTAAGTGTTTGCTTTGTTTGTTGTTGAAAATCTATTTTTAATTAAATTTTAGTTTAAATGGTCCACAACACTGTGAGCTTGTTTTAATTAGTGTGTACCGGGTACTATCCTAACCAAAGAACTGTTACGTTTAATGAACCTGTGCACACTAAAAAATACACTTTGCTTTTTAAGATCTCTTGTTGGATACTAACTTTGATATTGCAATTATTATTAAATATGGCCTTATTTCTCTGTAATCATTTTATTATGCTTATTACAACCATTTGAAAAAAAATTATAATAAGTAAAGTTGGTACTTAAAATAATGTCTCGCTGTGAAACTACAAAAATAATTCTTTGCCTTTCATATTCTCCCATTTTGAGTTGGTAAAAATTACCTTCCTAATCTTGTGTGTAACAAATATGCATGTCTATACAAATCATGTACGCAAATGGTTTATGGATTTTATTTAAGTTTTATAACCATTTTTGTACACATCACTTTCTATGTAACTTATACTAGGGGCTTCATAAATGATTTCAAATATATTTTTGGAACCTCTACAATTATATCCGAAGTATTTAATTTCTTTTTAGGATAATTACTGCCTACTTGGTTAAGTGCAAGGGGACGAACTCCTAAATTTATCCCCTGTAAATCCAAAGATATATTTTTGTTTGTATTTATTTTATTTGTAGCAAATACAATCTATAGATTATAATTGATTTTTCAGTTTTTCTCTTTCTCAGCATTCCAATATTTATTGTTTTTGTAAAAACATCACAGTTTTTTTTTTATATTGCACCTTTTTCTATTACATGTTTAAAAATAAATTTTAAATGTAAAATAACTTTTACTAAAAAATATATATAAATGTATCAAGATGTTCTTGCTTTTGTATGATGTATAAAATTTAATAAAGTTTACAATTTTCAAAATTGTATTTTTATTTTAAGATGGTCAAATCTTTCGTCAATATCTAGTTAAGTGCTCAGAATTGCTTAGCTCATTATATTAATCACACAGTTTGTTTTTAAAAAGTCGTTTTTGTGGTTCTACAACGTAATTATCTTGATGAAATTAAGGAGTAGTAACAGCAAGAAAAAAAATATTCAATTTTCTTTACAAATTTTTTATTTTTTGAAAATTTAATGTCACAACTTAACCTTCGTTTTCTTGGCTACGTAACCTGGCATGTCCATTGGTCACTCTTATACTTAATTGTTGAGCCCTTTCGACGATTTCTTTCCTTTTCTTGGCAGATACACCGTGGGCGATTTCAGCGCAGTATTTGCGGTTTTGCATCATGAGCACTTCCAATTCCTACAAGAAATAAACTCCAATCAAAACAAAGTCCTGTGAATAAAGTTTAATAATTTTTTCTTCCAAGAAAAATCAGTAAAAAGTTTTGCAACACATAATATTCAGGCGCAAATTACCAAAAAGCATCATGATAATTTTTAATATTATATTTCTCCTAATTCTTCTCTAAACTTCATGAAAATTCTTACCTTAAGGTTGTGCACGAGTACTTTTCGGAAACCAGTTGGCAACATGTGACGAGTCTTGGCGGCTGAACCATAACCAATATTTGGCATCAAATATTGGCCCTTGAAACGCCTTCTGACCCTGTTGTCAATACCTTTTGGTTTACGCCAGTTTCTCTATAACAGATAATTGAAAATAGCATAAATTTATTGGGAATTAACATGGAAACTATCATAAAACTATAAAGATGGATAGGATGAACTCTGCAGTTTTTAAATTTTACGAGTTGACTATTATTTAAGAATTAGAATTAAGGTGGAGAAGTAGCAATTAGGAATTAATGACTTGTGTATCTCTGGGCCTGAAAGTTGGTCAAAGGTAGGAATTTCTGTTTTTTTATCTAGCCATTACAAAAAATAACTTAGGACCAATTTATCAGTGGATAGTTAATAGCTAAGAGACAGCTAAACAGCTAACTTAATAACCGTCCACTGATAAATCTGGCCTTAGCAGTGGGTCAAGTTTACCAGATACTTCTAAATTTCAGGCTCCAAGCGGAGCTCTATTTTTTATAATGTAGGCCCCAAGATTGATTATTTTTCAGGCAGGATGGTTTAGGTTATGAGGTACAAATTAAATACCAAACTTTGACTTACCTTTAGTTTGGAATATCTATCAGATTGATGCCTGATGAACTTCTTAGTCCTTTTTTTGACGATTGTGGGTCTATATACGGGCCTGATAGCCATTTTTAACCTAAAAACCGATAACAGGTAAACAAAAACACCAAAAAAATACCCAACTATTTTACTAATTGGAAAAAATACTGGCACAAACAGTATATTCGATAAAGGCGCTACTGAATTAAACAAAAACTATTAAAAAATACCTACCGATGCTTTAGAACTTAATGGATTATAAAATTCTTTAAAAATTGTTGTTTTCAATGCGCCATTAAACGGCGAAAGGAACTGCCAAATGTCAAAAACGAAATTTGTCGAAAGTAAATTGACAGGTGTGATTGTCATTATTAAGCGTTTTCGTAAAGAGAATCCACTAATGGAGCAACATGTTTCAGTACAAAAATTATTGTTCAGAGGATGTTGAGCAGTACTAAAATATTGCAATCGCTCAACGCTCAGATCAGCTAGTATCAAGAACACTCCATCAAATAGGATGGTTCAACCTAATAAGGCGTACGTTCACCAGTTCTCGAGTCGGCAGCTAGTCTGCAGATGACGTCGTCCCAACTATCGAACGCAACAGCAGCTGATAGTGGTGACGTCATCCGCAGACCTCGATGGATTGCTTACGAATCAAGCTGTACTTGTGAGCTAATTTTTGAGAATTCGTTCTTTCGACCTATAGTTTTTTAAACTTGGATAAGCGCGGTATCCGCGTATGGCTAAATTCATCAAAATGGTGCACCGTCACGGATGCGGTGATAACGATTCACTAATGACCATGCCAAACCACAGCTTGCCAAACCCTGTTCAATTTAACAACACTGCTTCTTCTACCTTTTCCACCACGGTCCCTGAATTTAGCCTCCGCCGATTATGGCTGAGTTCGGCTTACACTACACTTTGTAAACTCTGAGCGCGCTCGAAACGATAAGATCCTGTTTGTTTTAGCTCTCAGAGTATTCTCTTGCGTTCGGGCTACAATCGAGCACGTACCCTGAACTCGCTCTCTTCTCTTTTCCCTAAGCTGCTTTCTTTTCAGGGGCTTGGGCGCCCTGGGTCACGATTTTGAAATGTGTCAACTGTTCTTTTTAATCGGGAAAATTAAATTAAAATCAAAACAAAACCAAACAATTTTTTTTTGAAATTAGTGACAACTGTGACAAGGGTTTAAGGCTGCGTTTCTTTTAGTAGTCACGAGTTCCGGAGCAATTCGTTTTAGAGTCGGCTCCAAGATGGGTGCATTTAACCCATTTTAAAAGAATGTGCTGCTTAAAAATTGTGAGTCACGTGTGCAGTCAGCACTCGTCTTGTCCAATTAGGCTGAGTTCGGCTTTGCACTCCACGGAGCAGAACAGTATGAGCATGGATATCGTGACGTCATACGCAGTCATAAGCCCAATGTAAAAGAGAACACTCTGAGAGCTAAAACGAACAGGATCTCATCGTTTGTGTAAGCCGAACTCAGCCTTGGAGCGAATTTTATTGGTTGAAAACATTCAGAAACAGTCATAAAACTAGTTTCAACCCAAAGTTGTTTGATAAAGGTAGGTTACTTGATAACTTTATGACGTCATCTGGGGTACCTCAACATAATACTCATTGCCAGACATCCTAATAACTTTAGAAACCTGGGTTTAATTCAATGAAATTCACTCTGACTGCTTTGTGATTTCTGTGCAAACAGACCTATTATTAGTCTTGGTCTCCGGTTAGAAGCTAGTGAAGACACGCACTCAGACTCGGCTCTGGGGTGTGATTTTCGAGACCATTCGAGTACATTTCGTACACGAAATTTGTCTGCTCCCCATTTAATTTACATTGCTGTCAGTCAAATTTCGTGTACGAAATGTACTCGAATGGTTTCGAAAATCGCACCCCTGTAGGATTATCGCAAGGATAATTCACTAAGGATTGCTTATCGGCCTTGTTTTTGATAATCGCGGTCATATGGTGTAGCAATATTGCTGACGTCATTAACTAAGTCGTGAGCTGTTTGCGCCAGCGGTCGTAGTTTGGAATTTAAATTCAAGATGAAAAATTTTTTTAGTTTCGTTTAACATAAAAGCCAAAGAGGAAGATGCAAACGAGATCTAAAAAGGAGTGGTTTTAAGGCGATTTTCAGCGTGGAATGATTATTATTTGGTTTTAACTTAACCAATGCATTTACGCTTTCGTGGTTTTTACCAAAGTAGGGAAAGTTGTGACGTCAAAGATCAGATGATTTGCTTTTGGTATTTACCACTTATAACTGATTATAACCCAGCTTTGGACTTGGGCTTATCTTTTGGTTACAGCGTTTTGATGGTATTGTTATTATTTTGGGGGTTGGGGATTGGTATTGGGGTTTGGTGATTTTACAGTTGTGTTGTGGCCTGGCACAATGAAAGAAGTATACACTCACTGCAACTTAAAGTGTGTTTTTTTTTAAAGATAAAAGTCAAAATGACATTATGTTGGCAATACAATGTAAAATTGTCAATGCTTTCAAATTTTTTATGTAGAAAAGGCTTGTGTGGCCAACATAGTTAATAAATTTTTGACTTGGGGAATTATCTTTAAAAAAAAAAACAGACTTTACCATTTTGTTTAGATCATCCCCAAACAAAATCTCTTTGATGAACACGAGACTAAACGAGAGATTCCGCTCTATTTTTTATACCTAAAGAAGAAACCATTGTTGAAACACCTCAATGGTTGAAACAGAGAAACAAATAATTAAGAATAATAAACATAACCCTACACTGCTAAGGCTATAACCAAATCATTCCAGCGGTCAGTTCCTTGGGTTATGATTCTTGAGTGGTTGGGGGCTATGACGTCACACTTGGCTGTCAAAGTTGTCAACCAAAAGAATAACCACGGTATTTTACCGATGAATAATCATTCTAGGCTGAAAATCGCCTTTAGAATGTTAATTGTGGTAACCAAGTATGCATTAAGCAAAGCAGAAATTCGCGGTATCTTAATCTGTGGTGCGAACACCCTACGTCAAGGCGAAAAACGACACGCTGTCGACGTCATCACTGGTGCTCTTTGTGGGGGGCTTGAAATTTGAACTGCACAGGTCTTATGAGAATAGACTATCTTGTAGTTAGTGTGTATTATCCTTGGGACTATCGTGCTCTGGAAGTTACTCTTTCAGCTCAAAATGCATACTCGAACGCATCAGGAGTGTACCCGAATAAAGCAACGTCTCGATTCCAAACAGCAGAGCAGAAACAATTTTGAAGTGAAAACTTCCTTAGGCGCGTTCAGTACATTTTTTTCTGGACAGTGGATGAGATTGCGAGATTTAAGCCGTCAAGCTCGAATAGGTAACGCGCATTCTGGTACAGTCGGCTCGAGTCGACTTCAACCAAGCGAGAGAGAGAAACATTCAGTATAGTGCGAGTGCGAGAGAGAGAGGGATACGTTCCAAGCCACGCCTTCTTGGACAGTTACAGGTTCTTTTTCGCCTTTGACTTCTTGTCGAATGTTCTGGAACAATTCCGCGATACTGGCACTTCGGGCAATATCATTGTTTCCGTTCTTTTCATTTTTCTTTCTGTATTTCTTCCAGTCGCTATCTTCTTCCTGTTTTTCTTTTTGCTATCTTTTGTCGTTCACGTAAGCTTCAATAAATCGCGAGCATCTGCATCATTTGATCTTCTATTTCGGTGGTCTGTGGTCTCGTTTTCATCATTAGAGAAAAGTTTCTTCATTCACTTATCCAACTTCCACGTAATAAATTCAAGACAATAACATCAAAATCGCGACGAAACTAGCACTCATTTAACAACTAGAATCAAACTTATAACTACATAGTTACAAACACAAAACTAAATCACAACTCATCACTGTCATACTATCGGCCATCTAGGTACCCTTACTGTTTTTAGGTCATTGGTTTTTAGTGATTGGAAAAACCAAAAGATCAATACTTAATTGAGCAAATCTAGGCTTATTTATTGAAAACTAAATTAAAGAAGAAAAAATTAAACATACCTAAATTGTAATAAAAATACCAGATCATCATATTTTTGGATCTTTAATTCACAAGTCACACTCCCTTTCTAAAACTGAAAAATTGTTCCTTTTTTAAATCTTCTTTGTAAAACTCAAAAGCAGGTTGAATAGAGACAAATAGAGACGATTTAGCGTACTTCGGTTCCGGTACAACCTGTTGCAAACAAGAAATTACCGTTTTACGTTCGATAAATCTTTCATTTGAAGAACATATAAAATCTCCTAAATATGGTACAAAAATAGATCTTGGATAGATATTCTTCTGAAGATGATTTACATTGCTCTTGCCGGATATCTTGCAGGCATAAAGATATTCACAAAGATAGCAGCCAGCATTAATAAGACATAAGTTATCATGGCTGCCCACCATAAGTATTTTTCAAAACTTCTCACATTGAGATTCTTCAAGATGTAAATTCCGACAAGTAATCCCGCAACTGCACCTGAAAACTCAACATTTGAAAAAAAAATTCTTGATTTTTCCATTATCTTACCTCCCAAGTGAGCAGCATACCCAATTTGTTCATTTGTGTTCAAATAATATCTGTCGTAAATGGAACTGCCCAGATCGCAACATATAATTATACCAAAAATAAGCAACTGGATAAATGGGAAGGTCATTTCTTTCCAATTCTGTAAAAAATTATTCACAGTGATCTGCTGCACAATAAAAATATAAATACGTGATTTCCATAATAAGTATAGGTAAGCTTCACCCAAACGCCAATATGATCTCCTGGACAAAACGCTTTACGGAAGTGGAGTCAAGGAAGGTTCAGGAGCCATAATTGAACATATTTATCAATTGGATTGGTATTATATTTCACAAATGTTAGAAGAATCCTTACCATTACAATTATAGCAAGGTGAGCACTCATCAAACAATACACGCCACCACTAGCTCCAGCCAGTCTTACATAAGGATCTGTAATGGAGGTGGCTAGAGAGCCTGCAATAACGCCAGAAAAATAAAGCAGACTCACTCTCCACCATTTGTGCACCATTTCCAGAGGAATACCTAGCAGAAGTTGGAAAGCTAGATTGACAACAATGTGAAGATATCTGAAACAGTATTAACAATTAAACAATTTTTATATTATTGCATGTTTTACCCAATATGAACAAACATGTAGGTCAAAAACCTCCATGCTTGTTGGCGCTTGTTTGGTTCATAAATGAATATTTGGGCAGTGACACCTGTTCCAGTAAGGGTTGAGTTTTTTTCGGTGAATTCATCTACATATAATAAAAGACGATATACGATACAGAGTGGACCAACTTACTAGACACATAAAAGGAATAATAAGATTAATTAGCTTGTACCCGGTCTCAGCGAATCGGAGGCGATGCTGCTGAAGCCGAGTAATTTTAATAACATGCAGTGATAAATCATTAGGATATCAGGGTATCAGTCAACTTGTCCTATTGAAGCCTATGTGTCTAGTAGCCTAGAGGTTTCATAAAGGATAAATATTGTATATAACCGCACAGCATAGAGAGAACCAACAAAGTAACTCTGATTCTAGATGAACATCCGGAAATTCTAAACCTCATTGCTCAGCATTATTGTGTGCATTAATATGTTACGTCGAAAATCTATATGAATAATTCTGTAGTGATTGTACCATTAATCGTCATACCTGTTAAGAAAAATGCCAGCTCTAACAAAGAAATCAGTACCATAGCAAATGGCGGCGGACAACAAGTAAAATTATCAGCGTAAGCAATTTCTTCAATATCATCTTTAATAAATACTTTTGTGTGTGGTTGTAATTCAACTCCTGACACAGCAGTAAATTCATATGCTTTTGGGCTGCGAAATCTTACACTACGTCCCTTCGGTACGAATCGTTGGACGGGCACAGGTTTCGCCGGTTCGGGTTTGGGTTTGTTTTGTGGAATCAGGAATTTAATATAACTGAAAAAAATAAATATTTATTTTGGCACAAATTGATTTATTGGGAAATGCTGTAGTAATTATTTCTATCTGATATAGTTTCTTACCTATTGACATAATTTCCAATAACATGTTGCAGATCAGGGTGTTCCAATATATCGACGAATTCTTCGAAATTGACAGCTTTATTGCCATCTTTATCGGCTAGTTTAAATACGTATCTTATTTTATCAGCGGAAAGGTCTTTGGTGTGGCCCGAGGATCGTAAAAATGCTTTCAATTCTTTAAAACATATCAGATTGTTTTGGTCTGAGTCACACTAGAAAAAGGATAAGACATACCTATTTTAAGTTTGTGTAAATTTGTATTAACATTATTACGAGTATTTAATGATGGCAACTAATGCGGAAACAAAAATACGAAATTACCAAATAAATTTTAATAGAAAATTAATAGAAAACAAAGAATAAACTTATCTCTTACCTCTTCAAAAATTTTCTTGTATCGCCTTAACGTATTTTCTTCACAAGGCATATTTTATGAAGCACTTGAATTAATAGGAAATATTTATAGAACTATGATTAATATTGGGAAAATTATACCTCTCTAGATATCTATAATATGACTAGTACTACCGTGCTAAAAAAAATTATCAAAATGTAGGTAAGTCACATATCACCGATAAACCTAGAGATTACTTTTGGTGATACGTTATCAATAACGACCCAAATATTTAGGTAGGTATGCAATAATTATTGGTTTACTACACGAATTACCTATGTACTATATTTTACCTAAAACTTGAGGTTACCTGTGCGATTAACTTCAGCATTACGCACGTTGTGCTTAAAATTGAACTTGCATAGAATTCAGTATGGTTTTTAGACTATTTACATATTAGATACATTCGTATAAGACTGCTCTTCAACTTACCAATTTGTGCGTAATTTGCTTACAACACTCGTAATGTATTTATTTTGCTTAGGGCTTTGGAAAAAATATAATAGTAAATGTGCCATGATAATATATATAGATTAAAGGTATATCTTGATACATTTAGTATGCCTATAAGTAGTGAACATGATGTTTGTTTTGTTTACAAATTTCATTCACGTATTTGATTTCTAGGTTTCATGTCATGCTTATAGAAGAAAACCGCCTAACGCGGGACTTTTTCCAAACCAAACTTCCCATTTTCTACATACGTAATTGCCTATTTACGCAAATTAATAAAATTGTAAATTTACATTTTGAGAAAAATGTATTTGAGTAGGTGATTTGCTGGCTTCAATTTATTCGAGTAATTTAATTACTGCAATATTTTTTTAGCACAATATGGAAAAGCACGGTCTGTAATGTAATTGTGGTGATTAAAATTAAATAAATGTTTGTTTTAAGCCGACATGCAACAAATTATGAAAAAAAAAAGAGGAAATAATGGATAAATTACATGCTATTTTAAACACACGTGCTTGAATAAATACTTATTCCCATAGTTAATATGAATTTGCATATAAAAATTTTCTCTATTGGACTACAAGATGTAGGTACTTACTGTCGACTTCAGATTAAATATTTATGTGTGATTATTCGTGTCGAAGTTACTTGAAGCTCAAAGTTGGATCTTTTGCTTTTCTCATACACCTCTATATGTCAGAGACCTACCTCAACCTTCTGTCAAAAGGATCTTAAAAATGTGAATAATGGACTTAACTACTGAAAAACCTCTGAAAAAAGACATTGAGGACCCTCTACAAAAAGAACCCCCCTAATCATCATCATAAAAAATCCAAGAGCAAGTTCTCAGCTTGAAACTCCAATACTTGGAACAGGAATGGAGACAAAACTACATAAATTTATGGAAGACACAGGAGTTTTGATGATCGACTAATGTCAATGGAAATTGATAACGTCCAAACGATATTGGACGCAGTATTGCTCGAAACTCTTAAATTTAAACACTATATAGTAGAAAGTACTTTTTAACACAATCTCGTATGACTCACAAACATAGATCAGAAGCATCAGAAAATTAGCTGAGATAGCTACAGGAAAAAGATTATAGAGGAGATTTAGTCATTCCATCAAGTCAGAACAACGCCAAAGTCAGAAGCAACAAATAAAATCAAAAGATGTAAACATAACTCAAGTACAATCGACAATTCCAGAAGGTGAATGAGAATCGTGTAACCAGTGTTTTTTGTACAAACACCTTAACAATTGCTCCAAGACACCTCAACAACAACTCCAGACACCTTAATAACTGCTCCAAGACACCTCAACAACAGCTCCAGACACATTAAGATACCATCTTCAAACACTTAAACAACACCTCCAGACACCTTAACAACACCTCCAAGACACCTCAGAAACAACAACAACAACGTTATAATCTAAGCAAGAACAGGTTCACACCTATTATAACAATTCAATTTAAGATCAGGATTCAAAATGGGAATGGATCAGATCAGAAAGAAACTTCAGGCAGCTATATGGACCTCATCTTTCCCCATATGAAATATGGTGCATCAACTGAAAGATCAACACGAAGAAGAGCAGAGACATTTTTATTCAGAGAAGGGACTGAATATTGAACCAACTGATTAACATTATCGACAACGATAGGACATTCTTTTTAACAGGTTTTTTCTATAGGGATTAGAAATACAATTTCAAGCCGATTACAGAAATATATTATCAATGTTTTCATGCACTAATGAAAGCAGAGGCCAAAAAAAGTGCATCCAAATATTATAAACTTCAAAAAGCAATAAAAATTGAAAATACAAACGACTCGACTCATAAAACAACTGTATTTTTAGCCAAATTTATTTGCTAGAGCGAAACCATAATAATAAAGTATCTCAACTCTGCTTGTCATTACAATCCAATAAAAACCGTAATAACTCAATTATCAAATCATAATTTTCTGGAGTGCTATTTTTGGACTCGGAAAAAATCGTGGGCGCACCCAAATGCGGAACACCCAGCTAATTTCGTTTTGACACACACTAAATATATCGCTGGCGCGATTATTTAGATTTTGACCACCAACCCGAATTCATTCGGAGATGTTTCCCAGAAAAAAGAAACGATCTGTTGAATGTACCTACTAATAAAAATTTGTGAAGAGTGAATCACGCATTGTCCAAAAATAGGCAGTCTAAAAAAATTACGTTGAGGTTGGTCGCCCAGCATTCCTACCTTTTCATATTTTTGAATTGTCCAAGAGATTATTCACGCGAGAAATTGAATATTGGTGTGAAGATTTTCAAAAAAGTTATAGTACTTAGTAGGAAAAAAATTATTATGTCAGAATCTCTTAAATCAGAGAAAACTTGCTTGGTCATGGTGATTTACCTTTTTTTCAATGTGGTGTAACACCTTTCGCTTGATTTGATTTTTGGCCAATATATTAGCGTGGGATTCTATTCATGGATTTCAAATAAAATAATTATGAACATCGTTATTGTCTTATTTTAAAATGGTGAAAGTGTAGCGAAAAAAAAAATTATGTCAGCATTGTATGCCATTCCATGTCTCATATTTAAAAATGACAATGCGAGAAAAGGGCAAATTGCCTAAAGCAAGTTGAATAGGTATAACTACAACAAAAAGGGTAAGACCTTGATGGTACGTGGCTTTGGAAGCTCCTACAATATTGACTTGAAGATTAGCTTGTAAGATCACTCTACCAGTACCAAAGACCTATATTGAAGTTTTTTCTTTGCTTCAGTACCTACCTATTTAAAACCAAATTCTTGTTAGTTTGCTATTCCTCGTACCTTGTAGTGGACCTAAAGAAGCTTCAAACAATATATAAGTTGGTATTATTTCAAATGAAATATGCACCAATATTGTTCTCTTCGATCCTTTTCTACGCTATTACATAAATCCGCAGAGGATGACAAGAAATACCAAAAACTTGAACAAAATTGATAATACCCTGTATAAATAATTTAATGTATCGGTATCATCACACCAAAACTTAGCTGATCCTCCTCCTCACAGTTCCACAATTAACCAAAAAAATGAAAACATCCTAAATCAAAACCCACTCTGATCCTGTCTCCGAGTATAAAATTGAGCCGCTAATATCGCACCTGATGCGCTTTTTTTGGGTTTATGTATTTATAACCCAAAAATTATGCTTTAAAAAAAAGTCACACCCTCTGGCGTGAATTTTCAAACAATCGACAATTACAAAATTTAATCGAAAATCGATCAGTTCAACGCGCGATTTCATCCAGCAAGCAACAAGTATTTAGTAGTGGTACCCACCTGGTGTGTGTGCGAAAAGTTGATCGTTAAGTTTTCACTGAAGTACTTAAATGCCGAAGTGGTACCCTGTGAGAGAAATTGACGTCAGTAGAATATTTTTATGGTGGTTCTAGTTTTAGTAGTGCGTTTACCTCATTTTGGACGCGATGGGTACTGGAATGCTTTTGGCCAACGAGAACATAAGGCTTTATTATAAAACTGTTTTTGATTTGGTGAGTGGAATTTTTGATAAATTGTTGCAATTTGGAGTTGAAAATGACCAAAATTGATATTGGTGTGGTTTGTATACCAAAGCTAGATTACCGTTTTTGAATTTGTAGTTCGGAAGTTTAGTTGAAATAAATATGGAACCATTTTTTGTGAACCAGGGTGAGTTATTGAGAAAAATAAATGGAAAATGCATTTGTACTTCTGCTTTCCATTGGGTTCTTCGAAATAAGACTGAATTTTTTTTAATGGTGCTTAAAGTGAAGTTTTAATAACTAGGTTTTCCCTTTTTGTGACTTGAAAATGATATACCTACTTATAATTAGGTAAAGTAGTTACGTGAATATCCATCTTAACTTAATGTAGCTGTGTTTACTGGGTATTATAATGTATCTACCTATTTACAAAGTAGAGTTTGCACTATATTATCATTTCAAATCCAACTCTAGCTTAATCTAGTTTATCTCGGTATATTATTTCAAGAATTGAAAAAGCAAATAGCTGAAGCGCATCAGGATTTAAGGTACCTAAATGTAGTCAATAAAGCAACACATTTTTTTTTTTTGAAGAATTCTAAGAAGTTAGACAAATAAAGTCATTAAAGCATATCAACACCAAGTAGCAGGTAGGTACTAGACCAAAACAAACATAATCTATCTCTAATCTTCTCATTCAAAAAAGTGAAGATTCCCCGAATAAATTCGTTTTTAATAGATGTTAATGATCAACTTGTGACATATAGTTTACCTACTACTTGTTTCTTTTTGGATCCAATTCTTGATGACATTTTAATTAGCTTATGTTAGGTTATTTGTAATCGTAATTGCTATTTATATTTGATGAATTTTTGGGTAGAGTACCTATACCTGAGCATTCAATTTAAATTGTAAAACTCTTGTTTGTTTTCATTTATATTTATGTCTATTTCTTGATAACTTATCCAATGCTGGACACCATATTATGGAGAATTAAATAAGATGAATTAATCAACTCTTAACTCTATTTGAGAAAATTATGTTCCCTGAAGAAAAACTGCTCCAACGCGTCAGGTTACAAAAAGAAGATGTAAGAGCATATCCGACAATAATTTTCATTTTTCTCTTCTACGCATTGTATAGCAAGCAAAAATTTGCTCGTATTTACTTGAATGAGCAACAAAATGCTCTGCTTCATTTAAAACTTTTTCCAAAAAAAACTTTATATTGAAGATTGCTAGTTTAACTTCATCAAGTTATATCTCAATGGCGCCATTACCTTATGGACTTCCTTTCAAATAATTCATCTCATAATTCCTAAAAAAACAAAAGCTAATACCATTCCAAACTCCATCCGATTTTATTTATGTTAAATCAACAAACATGATAAAGCTAAATACATTGAAAAATTACACACTTACTCACTTCATACAATTAGATAAGATATATCGGATACATCGCGACAAAATGATATTATATTGTGAAAGAATCAAAAACTAGTTTAATTTGGTATGTTTCAATTATATGTTGCTTCTATTACCTAGTATTTTCATTTGTTAGTACATTTTCATAAGAAAAAGTGCTCCAATAATGGATACAAGCCTTGTGAGAATTCAACCTCTGATCATTTACTATGACAGACCTGAAGAGCTGAATATTTTGGTAAATATAATTAATTTAATTCAGTTATTCAATATTAAATGATGTTGGTGGGTGTTGCATAAAAGTTGCAACATTGACCTTATTTTAATCGGATCGCTGGCTCATATAAACAAATCCTCGACATTTTTGTTTTGGTTTTTCTATAGTTGTTTGCTAGGTAATAATTGATGATTTCCTATTTCAATTGAAATACTTAACTGTAGATTTTTTCCGTAAATTATGTATAGTAATTGTTTAAAAGTTAAATATAGAATACCTATACATATAGTTACAAAAAATATTTGATGAAATTTTTAGATTCAAAAAACGCAATACAAAATTCCAATTAAAAAATTCGTGATTTCGTTTTAATTGACTTTTTCAATAAATTGGATAAACAAAAATCTAATTATTATTCTTGTCTCATCAAACATATACGAACCAAGTTCTTCAAGATAAAATCTTCAATCTTCATTCCTCAAGAATACCTATAAACCTGTTTCTTGAAAAAATATTTGAAAATGCAGTTTTGCGATTCCATCAGTCTATTTTCGTACTTCATTCTTCTGATACTTGTTTGGACATAATTACATGTTTAATGGATAATAATTCTGCAGTGTAAATTATGTTTGAAACTCATGATGTGAATAGTTTGGATGTTTGCATTGTCGAACTTTTGTTTTAGAGTTTTAGCTGGAAATGCTTGGTCACAAAAATTCTATGGTACATTATTTGAGTGACGTTAGGAGTGTTGCTGCTAGTGATTTTGATACAGTAAGTATATACTTTCCAATAAATCTGAAAACAATTATTTACTGCCTTTTCCCATCGTCTTTAGAAGGAACGATGTGAGGCTTTATTGGTCTGAAGAATTTGAAATCTTTCTCATCCTTCTTGCCTGTCTGATGATGAAAGTAACTCATGCCCTTTTCAATATTTTGGGTATAATATCCCATCGCCTTACATGTTCCTGGTTATATATCTACAAATTGTGGCATGATCTTTGTTGTCGGAGTGCTGGAAAGGTTTCATCCACTCCTGGCGATTTGAGAGATTCGAATATATTTAATGCCGATTCAAGCCGCTTATCAGTCAGTACCTATAGGTACCGTTTTTAGTGTTTCCCAGTTCTCCCTGAAATTTATTGACGACTGAAATGATACGGACTGGGTTTCTATTATGTACCTGTTTTACAATTTGCGATCTTGTAGTTTTTTATTGGTGCGGACTAATAGTTTTCAGTACACTTCAAAAAGATTGTCTTTGACTTTAATATCGTGTAAAATGTAAAATTTTATAATTTTTAGTTGACTTGAACTGGTGGTCCTTATAGGTACCTATTTGATATGAAATTTAAAAAACAGAGCATGAAGGGCTATCAAGATATTCTGTGTGACCCTTACTTGCAAAGGTCTGAATGTAATTCCATAATATTTAGAGTTAGCATCGCAACTGAGTTGTCATAATCTAAATTTCATTTCCTGCACTCACCATATCCTTTGTTGGTCGGTTGGTTGGACGAACTAGGCTTTTCCGGAAGCCTTATTTCGAGCCCGAAGGGTTGTAACGTTGGCTCTCTCGTTTCTTTCTTCGTACCTATGAGGTAGCTCGCACCAACAACGCTCTGAGAGGTTCGTCTACCGGCCACATAAAGTGATCCCTAAGGCAAGGTGACCCACAGCAAAGCGTTGCCAGCCTAATACGCGCTCCTAAGTGCCGGGTACATGTCACAGCACTTCTATCGAACAATTGAGGGGAGAGCTGTTCTTGTCTCTGGCGTAGAGAACGAGGCAGACAGGTGAGATGAAGTCTCAATTACTACCTGAAGAGAACTTTGTTGTCCAATTGGAAAAAGATTAAAGTTTTAACTCTACCCTTTTTGTCACATAAGTTTAGAACATGTAGGAACATTTTTTCCCACTTTTCCATGAACTATTCTGGATTTCCCAGTTTATCCTGATGCGTCCTAATCCTTATTTTCACTTGGCTTGCAAGGTTGCGTAAATTTGTCCTTCATCCAAAAAAAATGTTATTTATATTTTATTGGCACTGGACTGGTTCCTTAACTTTTAGCTTATAGGCATTGATAACCTTGTAATCGGTAAAACTGGACCTCAAAATCGTAAAGTTTTTCGACCACGATAAGTTGTGAATTTAATTGAAATAAACATCGGTAGAAATATACCAATTCAAAATGGAACGGGCAAATCAAAAAATACTTTTGAGAACGGAAAGTGTAGACATTTTTTGTGATAGTGTTAGATCCAAGGTAATAATTAAATAATTATTATTTATTTAAATTAATTGCTATAATAATTTATGTTAATATTCAAGTATATCTACGTGCTTTACATAATTATTTCTGGCCATTTTGTACAAAATTGTAATATTTCATAACAATTTTAAAATCCATTAGATACAATGATAATTATCAAGATTTTGCATTCTGAGTAAAAATTCCTGCATGCAAGCTCTAATAAATAATAATTGTCTCAATTTTTACATTAATCACATTCTTTGCATTTTGTCGAGGTTACAGCAGCAGCATAGGGATTCCCCAGCTGAAAAAAAACCCAAGATTTCTAATTTTTTTATAGTTCGATTATCATTCTTCAGCATCGATTTTTATTGAGTCAGTATTGTGATCGTTTCGAAGAAACATGGGGTCAGGGCTTATCATTGTCTGCAATTTAGATGAATGAATATGCTTTGTGGTTTATTGACTTCTTTATGATTATACGATGCAATATGGAGGCCAAAGAAAGTGAAAAAAGTAGTGAAAATGAAGTGATACTTCTAAGATCTTTTAGTACTGAGATATTTTGTAGAAGCATTTATTACAAGGTAAATAATATAAGTATAATAAAATATTACAATAACTGCTAAGAGTATAAGAAACAAGCTTATATTTGGATTAATTTTTTTTTATGTTAAAAGCCAACATTGATTTGTAATTATTTTACATACATTCAAACTTTTGTATAATCTTCAAAAATATTTTCTACTTTACTTAACGGGACTGTATCTCTGGAACTATAACTCCAAATAAGCTAAAATTTTCAAGGTTTGTGGTCCTTCACTAAAAAAAGGTTCTTTGAAAGTTTCAGATTCCTATCAAAGATACAAATAGAAATATGTTATTTCAAAGTTATTGGAAATTTATCTTCAAAGTAGGCAGTAGGCATGCTGTTTTTAACCTCTGACAAAAAAAGGAAAACATTTAGTAGGTACCGAAGTGAAAAATCCCAATCGTTTTACCCTTTTTTTCCAAACTTCATATCAATTTTGCTTCCTATTGCACTATCATCATCATTATGAACGTTTAAAGTCGGTTAATAATGTTGATGAAAAACACTTTCCTTGAAATAGATATATTTATTGTTAGGTATTATTTATGATGTTTTGATGAAAGGTAAAATTACAATAATTTAACAGGTATTAATAACTTTGTAGTAAAGCAAACAGTAAATAGGTACGTCTGGACTTTTCCTGTTTTTCACTTGGTCCATTGCAGTAACTACCTACTGAAAGGAATTCTTATTTTTGTACATCAGAGTATCCCAAAAATCAAAGAGTATCATGTGAACCAGACAAATCCTTGTGCTTAATCATTCGCAAATTGTCAATTTGACAAACATAAAACATTTTACAAAAATGTCCGATCTCCCTAAAATACCCCTAAGAATCCCGAAAAATTACATACCGTACCTCGAAAAACACCGAATCTATGAACTATTCCACGAAATGGCACGAGAATTGGTCATCCAAAAACCAGAAGACCACATTCTTTTCATGAAACAAATCTTGGAACAAGCAGCGGCTAGCAGAGATGTTTGTAGACTTATTCTAATTAGCTCGCCGAAAATAAATAGAATCACTATTGCTCAAGAGATAGCTAAACACACGATGCAATTTGTAGTAACTTCTAATGATTTGAAGAATTTATTCAGTCACGAAATGAGCGCGGACACTGTGGCTAAAACTTTAACGGTTTTACTAAGAAACCAAAACGTTTCCAAAACAGGCTGGATTATTGCAGATTGCATCAACAACGAAGAAGAAGCTAAAGCTCTTCTTAAATTAGGAGTTTTGCCAACTCACGTTTTTCAAATAATCACCCCTTTTGAACCAAAATTAGATGAACTTCTTTATTGCGATGTAGCAGAAAACTGGCCGCAAGTAAGAAGAGACTTGTTCGGCCTAAAAGAAGTTTTTGGTAAGAAAATCAAAGAAATCAGTTTGATGGACAAAAATATTGTACAACTAGCTCGGACATGTCATGACCTATGTTTCAAAAAATCTGCATTGAAAACAGTTAAGCCAAGAGTAATTATTTTGGGCCCTAGAGGATCTGGAAAAAAAACTCAAGCAAGATTGCTTGCAAACCTAATTCATGTCGACTTTGAGTATTTACTTTGTCAAGCATGGATGTCCGAAAGTGAATTAGGACAAATGCTAAGGCAATGTGACAAAATGGTTTGCTTTCATTCGGAATTACTTTGTCAAATTGTTAATAAACGAATTTTGGAACCAGACTGTATGGATCAAGGCTGGGTTTTAACTGGATATCCATATACCGTGACTGATCTTAAATTTTTGGACTCACTTCAAACACCTCCAAATCGAATTATAGCATTGGATTGTGATCTGAATATTGCCAAAGAGAGGATTAGAAATAGGCCACATTATGCTTATAAAGGATCAAATGTTGATTTGAAATCAACTGCAAACGAAGAAAAAAAGGCCGTAATTGTTTCAGACAGAAAGCATCCAAAAGATTCAATGGATATCGTTCAAGCTGAGCACGATTTCTATTGCAATAACTATGGACGTATAAAAGCTTATTGTGGAGAAACCCTAATGATTGTCAAAGCAGATCAATCAGAAAGACGAGTTTACGAATGCATTTTGGGTTATATTGTGGGTGCCAACCCCATGGGACCACCTAGGAAAGGTTTTGGAGTTGAAATTCCAGAAGTTTGTAGCTGCGATTGTATTAATATTCCTCCAAAAGTGATGAAGGCTTATCATTTACCTGTGTAATTAATATATAGACTGACTCTTTCCGGAAGTTTGTGGCTAATGTGATTTTTTTTTTTGAATATAGAACTTTTATCCGATTAAACCTTGCTATATTTTACTCTACACTTATTTAATTCCATCGAAAAAAAATTAGTTCAATGGCATTAAGTGAGTGCGAAGCAATAATTATATAGGTATTCATTAATTATCATTATCAAAATGATTCATTCATAAACATTTCAAATTGATGGCTGTGCAAATTGGTTGTTTTAGCAACTACCTACCTTTTTTTTTTCAATAATTGTGTACGAGGATAAAGCATCACTTCATCTATTTCTTCTTCGCAATTTGGTCCATTTGATGGTTTTTCAGTTTAGAAATTTTTGAAAATATGATATAGATACTGTACCTTTATTGTAAAATCTAATGTTTTTTTCTTCAATGAAAATGTTCTAGGAAGTTGTACGGTTTTGAGGCGTTTCCAACAAATTTGTCGGGATAAATACGGTTCGGACAATTACTTTTCGGGACAAATACGGAGTTTGGCTTTATTTTGGTGACGTTCGGGACAAATTCTGTAGGAGCCAAAAACCAAAAATATTTTAGATAGAACAGAGTTATTTTCTGCAATTAGCTTATTGTTGTACCTACTATACAGAAACATTTTTCTGTTGAATCACCATTTTCTACTATTAGATTCATAGAAAAAAAAAAAGATTTACGATCTTTCTCGGTAGGTTTCTTACCACACAGCCCACGTTCACGAGTCAGTACAGTTTGTTTACAGTTTATACCTACTTTGTCTAAATCCGAACTGCGGACGTAAAAACTTTACAGATTTATCTTTTGCTTTTCTCGGTTTCAGTCTAATCTGGTCGCGGATACGTGCGTCTATTAGTTTTTCAAATTCAAAAAATTTCCGTTATCTAGTGAGAAGTTTAATTATTGTTTATAAAAAAAAACTTATGAATTGGTTAAGGAATGAGTGAAGGAAGAGTTTTAAGAAGGGCTATAAGTGCCAATATGCACGCTAAATCTGTTTTTGATAAGGTACGTTTGTTGTTTACTAAAATAATTATTGTCAAAGCTAAAGCGGAAAATCCTAAGTAATAAGAAAAATTTGTTGAATACCTCTACATGTAATTTCCCGGCAGTTAAATCTTATTGTACGTCTTACCTTGAAAACTACTACATAACTGTACTGTTAAAAGGTGCTAATTATCGAATAGTTAAGATTCTAATAATACATACCTATTGTTAAACGGGTTATAAGATAATCAGGTTATATTGAAAAGTTTAAAAAAAAGTAATTTCTTCCTCTGCACCAATGTCGACAAAATGAGAGCATCAAAATACGTCCTTCTATCTTAAAACTAGCTCCAGGCATCAGGAAAAGTACAAAAATTTCTCAAAACTTTTAAACACATGAATTAGTATCACAGTTTATAAACCTCTAAGCGGAATCCCCTCTATCAGTCAAATCTTTTATACTGTTTTAGGTAGGTATACCCTATCAAAATGATATTGCATCGACGCTCGACAGCTATTTGTAGGTACCTACATTTCAAATTCTGTTGTTTCTGTTTGTTAATCGTCTATTTCTCTTTCCGCTTGTTTGGTATTCCTTATCTTTCATCTTGTATTTGTGCAGTACCTTCTTTTTGTTCATCTTAACTACAACTCTCTGTAATCACGTCTTTCTTCGAAATTCTGCTTTATATTGCTTTTCTCTATTCTTTGATTTTGGTCTTCCTCTTTTAAGTCATCATATTTGCCTCCTTTTGACATTTTTTCAGACTTTTCTTTTGATGTCAGATATTTATTCTCGTGTCGTTATGTACCTTACCTTCTTGCTTCGATTTATCTTTTTATCCTTTAATTCCACTTTTTGGATTTCATCTGTTTCTTTTTCTTTACTTTCGGATTTTTCAGGCTTTTCAGGTTTTTTCTGTCCATAGGATTTCTTCCGGGTTTCTTCTTGATATGGTGTATAGTTTAACCATTATTAATTGAAACTTCATAAAAAAAGGCGGCTCAGTTGATCTCTTTGAAGTCACGTGGGAATCCATAGGCGTCTAAATATTATTATCATGACAAATGAATACAAATTGGTTAATAAAAGAATAAACATACTCCAGATATTTCTATAAAAACTGAAATGACGAACGCCATTGCCTCGAAATTCTAGCCGATTCACTTCTAGAATACAGTGGAGTTAATACATTAAATAAATGGGCAAAATTCATATAGTAGGTAATCCTTAAAATTCCGTTTTAAACTATTAAAATAAATCAAATATAAATACTTGAATAGGAATATTATTCCTTCATTAAAAATTCAAATTTGAAATTGATTTTTATTCAATTATCTGTGTAATTTTATACTTTTGTCCACTTCTAAAGAGAATATCTCACACTGTCAACAAGAGCGGCTCAGCTTTGTCGGCAAGCGATAAAGCCCAGCCGCATCGCCGACAATTTTCAAGTTTTTTTGCCGGCGTGCGGTGTCTTTGTTATAATGTACCAGGACTAGACATAAAAATATAAAAATTATTTTATATTATTATAAGGGATATTTTTCTAATTTTGAGTAGTCACCATAGAGATGCGATTTTCAATTGATAATGGTAATACTTTACCTACGTCTACCCAGTGGCGGATACAGTGGGGGGCAGAGGGGCAGAACTTTAACCTCAAACAGTATATCATTAGTGGTTGAGTTGATGTATTAGTTTTTTTTTTGTTTCAATAAATAAATATTCATGATATTATGTACAGGATATTTTTTTATATATTGACACCCCACCTACAACCTTTACCTTCACAGGTAGATGAAAGGTGTAAATATAAAAGTTGTACAGTATTTGCTAAATTTTTAAAATCGATGGTCAAAAACAAAAATTTAATGTCAGAAATGTGAAATATTGCATGCTTTCAGCTTTTTTCAAATGGGATGCGCTATATTTGATTCTATATTTTTGAAGAACACAATTTCCCGATTCCAAAACTATATAGTTTGTCTATATTTGCTTAAGCCGTCTCCAACATATTTGGTTCTAAAAATTTTAAAAATACTATCAGAGAAACTAAGTACCTCAAATTTTACCTGCAGCTTTCACCTGTACAGGTGAAATGGTTCACAAAATCAGTAGGATAGTATTTTTACAATTCTTGGAGCCAAATATATGAGAGATTGCTCAATCAAATTTTTGTTTCTGGCCATGGTTTCTAAAAATTCAGCCAAAACTGTACAACTTTTGTATTTACACCTTTCTTCTACCTATGAAGGTAAAGGGGTAAAGGCTGTAAGTGAGGTGTCAATATATAAAAAACACCCTGTACAAATAAGTGAATTATTGCGGAACTTATGGGTGGATCTCTGCGGGACGAGCGCAGCGAGTTCCCCAGCCATCTACTCACCAATATACCGTCGAACTGTTCAAATAAGACACTCACCTGAAACGTGTAGTTTTTGAACTTATGAGAAAAATTCTCAACTGAGTGAATCAGGTTAATATTGTACTTGAACAACATATTGATGAATAGATTAGATGGCTGGGTCCATCCATAGGTTCCGCAACAATCCACTCGTTTGTACTTGAATAACTTATCACAATATATTACTAGTTTAGTAATGTAACATTACTAATTCCTGTTAAAAGGCAAATTGACAAAAAGTGGATAATCTTACAAATTCTGACTTCATATAATAAGTTATTGTTCAAGTACAAATAAGTGAATTGTTGCGGAACTTATGGGTGGACCTCTGCGGGACGAGCGCAGCGAGTTCCGCAGCCATCTACTCACCAATATACTGTTGAACTGTTCAAATAAGACACTCACCTAAAGCGTGTAGTTCTTGAACTAATGAGAATAACTCACATTTGAGTGAGTCAGGTTAGTATCGTACTTAAACAACATATTGATAAATAGATGATTGCGGAACTCGCTGCGCTCGTCCCACAGGGGTCCACCCATAAATTCCACAACAGTCCACCCGTTTATACTTGAATAACTTGTCACATTATGTTACTAGTTTGGTAAAGTAACATTACTACACTTAATTTTTTCCCAAGATAGATTTTGACATTGAAAACTTTGAAACATAAACAATAACGCTTGACCCTGATTGGTCGCAAAATGAGGTGTTTCTGCAGGTTGACATTAGTTTTACAATAGCGGCATTAGCGGCATTGTTTATGTTTCAAAGTTGACAATGCCAAAATCTATCTTGGAAAAAAATAAACCATAATTCCTGTTGAAAGGCAAATTGACAAAAAGTGGATAATCTTACAAATTCTGACTTTATAATAAGTTATTGTTCAAGTACAGGGTGTTTTTTATATTATATTACCTACAGCCTTCACCTTTACAAGTAGATGAAAGATGTAAAAACAAAAGTTGTACAGTATTGGCTAAATTTTTAGAATCCATGATCAGAAACAAAAATTGAATGTCAGAAATGTGAAATGTTGCATGCTTTGAGCTTTTTTCAAATGGAATGCCCTATATTTGGTTCTATATTCTTGAAGAGCACAATTTCCGATTCCAAAACTAAATAGTTTGTCCATATTTGGTTGAGCCGTCTTCAACATATTTGGTTCAAAAAATTTTGAACCAAAACAAACCCAAACTAACCTAATCTGGCTTACTTTAACTTCAACTGCCCCCCCCCCCCATTCAAAAGGCCTGTATTCGACCCTGCGTCTACATACCTAAATGGGTTCTTCTTCTACTGATTAAGGCACTTTTTGGTTGCTTCTAATGTTTCTACCCAATAAACACATCTATTAGGGCCTCAAAAAACCTTACATTTGGAACACAGAACCTTAGGGTTTCGTTTTCCAGGTAATCGGCCTTGTAGGTTTTCCAGAATTCCAAAATTTGAGACAAAGTTTCAACTTTGAAATTCAAGATCTCGAAAAACAATTTGAGATAAATCATTCAATTTTGTTTTATCTTAAAGAACATTTAGTTCTCATTAAGAATATATAAATATGATACCAATTTCCATCATAATTT